TATTGAACAAGAGTGGTGATAGTGGACATCCTTGTCTTGGTCCTGATTTTAGTGTGAAGGATTTCAGTTTTTGACCATTGAGTATGATATTGGCTGTTGGTTTTTCATAGATGGCTTTTATCAGTTTGAGGTAGAGACCATCTATTCCAAGTTTTTGTAGGGTTTTTATCATAAACGCATGTTGGATTTTGTCAGATGCTTTTTCTGCATCTATGGAAATAATCATATGGTTTTTGTCCTTGGCTCTATTGATACAGTGTATTACATTGATTGATTTGCATATGTCGAACCATCCCTGCATCCCTGGGATGAATCCCACTTGATCAGGGTGTATGACCCTCTTGATGATCTTCTGCATTCTATTTGCCAGTATCTTATTAAGGGTTTTTACATCTATGTTCATTAGTGATATTGGCCTATAGTTCTCCTTTTCGGTTGGGTCTTTCTGTGCTTTGGGGATCAAGGTGATGCTTGCTTCCAGAAATGAATTTGGGAGTATTGCTTCCCTTTTGATTTCATTGAAGAGTTTAAACAGTCACACTACTTAGTTTTAAATAAAATTTATTCTAGAAAAGTATTCTATCCAAATAAAAGTTGAATTAATTTTGAAGCTTTGTCTACTTTCTTAAAGCAAAGGCTTTCATGTACCCATAGTTTTAATCCATGTAATCATTCTTTTGCTCAAAATAAAGTTCAGTACTAATACTTAAATCAAAAATGATTAAAATTTGTATAAGATACTTCTTTGTGAGAAATATTGATTTCCCAGATCAGGAAAAAGTGTTTCTTCTAATTTTTTCTCCAAGATGTGGTATCTAAGGATACTATATGGATAATTAGTGAAAACTCTACTCTAGAACATAGCTTCAATTCTTTCCCTCTTGAGACAGCCAAAATCAAGCCACCATGAAGTGGGCTGGCTGTTGACCATGTGCAACTCTGAGTTCCAAGCCTCTCTGCTGAAGAATGGAATTATAGGAGATCTTGGTCCACAGGGTTGACAGGGAAACTCAGTAGATAGTAGTTGGTGGGCATTGGGGTGGTGTTGGGTGTGCTTAAAGTGCAGCCACTATGTCTTATGTCTCCATAGCATAATGATCATCAAATTCTGAGCAGAACTCAGATGAATGTGTTGCTTAGTCAATTCATAGACAAATTTGAATGGATGTCCATGAGTAGAAGAGTGCCCAAGACTGAATTGATTTTTTTCTCTTTGGGAAATAATTTCTCACAAGAATTTGAGAGAAATCTGGAAGTCCTTGGAGAAATATACTAGGGCTAGGTTGGCAAAGGGCAGGTGGCAATCCTACTTTTCTAACTCTCTGCATAGGTCAGTGCATCCCTGGCAAGAAATTTCCAGAAAACTCAGTATCATTTGTAAACTATGTAGAATCAACCTATAGAATAGTGATTGAGATAAAAGACTTCAGAGTTATATCTACCTGGATTCAAATATTGACTCTGCCATTTATTCACTCGAATTTCCTGGGGAAATGCTTAATACTTTTTTGTCTTAGTTTCCCTATAAATAAAATGAGAATATTAATACTTCCCTCATGGTGTCATAAGTAGTATTAAATGACTTACATCTACGGAACTTTGAAATGTAACTAAATGTGATAAGTACTCAGGAGATTTTAACATTTATAAGTCCAGCTTAATTTATCTAATTTCTACTATATTCTACTGAAAATATGAAGAGCAAGCAAGACAGAAGAAAATAATATTTATTGAATTCCTATGAATCCATCACCATGATAGTTGCCATGCATACACAATCTTAAGTAGTTTTTAATTAGTAAGCTTATTAGGTAGATATTATTTGTTCTATTTTATAAGTGAAGAATGTCAGGTAAAGAAAGATTAACTATGCTTCTTAAAGTTTCAGAGTAAATGTAAAAGCAGGGATTTGAAGTCAAAATCAAGGATTTTCTATCAATCCCTGAACTTGCTATAATAAGACACAGCATCTCTCCTTAAAGAATGAATAGTCATGGGTGAAAGACTTGCACATTAATAACTAAACATAATGAGATGTAAGTGCCAAAGTAGAATCATACACTAAGCAGAAATATTTACCTAGAGGATTAAGGAATTCCTTGATGGTATTAAAGACATAGCATTTTGTTATGAAGATTTCTCTGGTAAAATAAGAGCATTAAGAATAGGAAGGAAAGAGAGGCAGATTCAGAGGCACAAAAAATGACAGAAGTCATGAAGGACCAGAAGAGAAAATGACTGAGAATGCTGTCCTTGCAGATGGGACCTTGGGTAAAGGGAGCCCGACAGTCCTGCTCCACACAGCATGTTGCTGCTTGCAAGGATCCCAGGGACTTGTTACCAGTTTCTCATTGTTAGCTCCAAGCTCTCTGTGGTCACCACTTCTTTCCAGCAGACCACAGCTAAGCTCTGCTGCATTTTCAAGGTACCTCTACTGTCTTCTTGTTCATTGGTAGTTTATTTGATAGTATTTACTCTGCTCTCATTGTGTTGGGATTGTTCATATACCTGATCTATCAGTTCCATCTGCTTGAGGATATGCATTTATCCAAGATGTGTTAGCTCTGTTCCCCTTTCAGGCAAAAAGGATCCTTCTGCTTAAATTAAATTAAATTAAATTAATCGTTGTTATCTTTTACAGAACTCTTTTAGAGCCATTATTACATTGTACTAGATTATCCATGTGTCTCTTCTTAATATGAATTCATTAGGGCAAGCACTGGTTTTTTTAACCTTCAAACTCTAGTCTAATGCCTCACATCCAAATATTTGATACATGAGTGAATGAATGATAACCCAAATGCCCTGGTCAGAGCTTCCATCAGAGGAATCCATCTGACCTGTTCAAGGTTTTATTTCAATGACCTTAACACGAGATTTTTCAGACTAGTCTTCTCATTACTCTGTCCTCTTTCTACCACTCCAATCTTTGTCCAAGCTCCCAGTGCCTCTTCTTACCTTAATCCATGGAAGATGCTTTTATTGTTACCAACCTAGCTTGGCTATGTATAGCTAAATCCTTTCTTTTCTGCCAACAAAGATTAAATATTTTCTTCATGATGTACAAAATATTCAAGTACTTCCCTGGCTGTTTTCACCCCTAAAATTTTTTTCAGACTTGCGTTTCATTTTTGGAACCTTTAATATTCAGTTTACCCTTGTTTTTATTTTATAAAACATATATTGGTTTTTCAAAGGCAGAAATGTCACTTTCGCATTTATCTGCCATTGCAAATGCCAGATATGTAGAAATTTATTAGACAATCAAATAGCCAAATAAGCTAAAAGCTAATGGATTTGCAATGACTAGTGGCTAATTAATACAATATCATCCAAAATATATTACTACTAATAATATATTACTCTTACCTTTGTCAATATGTACTATATATAAACAGGAAGTTTTATGAGGAACCAGGCTGACTGTTGCCTTGTGTGTTTTCAGCAGATACAATGCAACATACTAAGATTCAAAACTATGCAATTGGATTTTTCTGGCTTGTAGCTTCAACATTTGATCCTTTAGCACACAGGCTTCTAAATCTATAAATTTTACCTGCACCCCTCGGGGGCCATCTCACAGGGTATGCATATTGCTGGCCTTCATTCTGATGCCTGTTGCTCTGGCAGACTTCCACAGGTTCATCTCTTCAGAAATGAGCAGCTCCATCTTCTTTGCCAGACTAGGTCTTAGCCTTAAACCAAACAGGGCAGCTGTTCACCAAACACAGAGGTGACATTTGATGCTAATGATGAACATGGACCAGAGCCCTGAGGAATAAATGACAGAATGGAAAATAATGATGCCTAGTTTCCAGAGTAATGGCCTCCTGTAACATATTTTTAAAGGCTCTATCTAGCTGGCTCAGGCCTTCAGGGCATCAATAAAACTTATCCCCACTTATTTTTTTTTAATTCATGGAAAGAATGTTAATGAAATATTTACTTTGTAAAAGCCTTATTTGATATAAAATTAAGTTGGAAATCTGGAAATGTTAAGCATTTTTAATGTGAATCGAAGAAGTTTGAAAGAAAACAGAAGGCAAAAAGTGATTTATAATTCTTTCTCAATTATTCATTGATTTCTTCTTCTTTTTTTTTGGTACCAGGGATCAAACTTGGGTCCTTGCACTTGCGCAGCAGGGAGTGAAACCACTGAGCTAAATCCCCTGCCACTCGTTGATTTCTTCTAAAACACCTAAAGACTCAAGGCATGAAAATTTAAGCTGGATATCTGGGCCACATTGATCAAATCTCACTTCAGATCATTCTAACCTGGGATAAAAAGAAGGCCACAGTTAAAGGCAGGAGACTACCACACTGACAGTAACCCCTCAAATTCTGCAGGAATTTCAACTTTCTTGAACACACCTCCAATTCTTTTATCTTCCCAGGAGCATCTCAAATGTGTTCTACATGTGACTTTCTGCATAGATCAGTGCCTACAAGGTTTATACATCAGTGGCAGTTTATACCAATGAATCTAAATGCAATCTTCATTACTCAGGTTCTCCAGAAAAGCAGAACCAATATAATCTATATACATCCTACGTCTATGAATATGTGTGTGTATAAATAGATGTACAGTACTTAGACATATACATGAGATTTAGTATCTACCAGATACATGAGATTTAGTATCTAGACAGATACAGGAGATTAAGTATTGACTTACACAATTATTGAGGCCTAGATGTCTCGTGAACTGCCATCTGCAAGCTGGGGTCCCAGGAACGTTGGTGGCACATCTCAAAGATCTAAGCACTAAAGAGCCAATAAGAGATTCCAGACCAGAGCAGGCCTGAGAATCAAGAATGCAAGGGCAAGAGAGGCTCAATATCCCAGCTCAAACAGGCAGAGTACAATCAACTTTCTTCCTACTTTTTGTTCTACTCAGGCCCAGTGGATTGAATGATGCTCACCCATGCTAGGGAAGCTGTCTCTTACTCATTCCACCAATTCAAATGCTAATATCTTCCAGAAACATCTTCAGAGACATGCCCAGAGACCATGTTTAATCAGCTCTCCAGGCATCCTATGGCCTAGTCAAATCAACACATAAAATTAACCATCACAAGTCAGAGGCACCAAAGTCCTGAGAAGCTGCCATCACTTCTGCTGATGCCCACTAAGCCACTCATCCTGGCAACAGTTCCTAGGAAAGTGGGCAATAAGGCTAAGCCAACTCCATGACATGCTCACCCAGACACAATGATACTGCTAATATCTACCTTCTTCTATTCTAAGGCCACAAATACCCAACTGATGATGCCATTTTGAGAGTGATGTTGCCTGAGGAAGTTAACCCTGTGAACCCTCTAGTTTCCTGACACCATTGTAACTGGAAGAATATATGCTCAAAATTCATAGATATTTTCATGAAATCACACTTTCTAGTTCCTTATTTTGGGTCTTTCCTTAAGACCCAAAATGCATTGGTATGGCTTTTCTGAAATAATAACTACTGGCTATCCTTAGAATAACTTCTCCCCACTTAAACTAGTCCATGGACTTGCACCAATATTTGAGTGTTTTATACAACTATTCTCTCCCTTTAGGATTACTGTCCTCAGAAGGGGTTCCTCATTTAAATACTTTTCATTTAAATACCCAGTTCCCAATCAGTATGTGGCACATCACAAATCTTTCACACATGTTCATGTTTTCCTGAATTCTAAGACATTCCTGTCACAAATATATATATTTTTTTTCATTGAGAGGGTAGCTTCAAAGGGCACCACTAGAAAACAATGGGAAATGTATTCGTGTTGACTGACAGGAACTTGGAAGTTAAAAACTCATTTCAAAAAACATAGGCAATCAGCTCAATATTCACCTATTGATTATTTTGTTTTCCTCTGTTTATGTTTCCAAAAGTATTGCCATAATCTTCATTAAATAAGTTAAAATTCCAAAAGAACCCATCAAGATCTTAATAGAAGATGGCAAAGAAACTTAATAAGAATAAAGGAGTTCCTAGACTCTGACAAATGATTTAAAACTGCAGTAATCTATTAAATTTGAATTTCATAACTAGTTAGAACAATGTAGGGATCTCAGGACTGTATTAAGCAGTTTTTTCAGTAGTGATATGTTTTCTAATTTGAACCCCAGTGGAAGAAAATACGTACTATTCTAAGGACCTAAGTGCCTGATTGCCAGTGCCTTGACCTCCCGATCACAACTAGATAACTAGGAAATATTAAAGCCCCTGGACAATTATGTGTCTTCTATTTTAAAGTGCTTTATAAAATGAAATTGGACATGCCTGAAATTCTAGGAATGTTTGCCAAGCTTCCCACCAACCTCTCAAGTCAATCACAATCTCAACTACATTCAAAAACATATTTAGCTAAAAGGCATCTTGACTCCAATGAAGCCCTGTGTTACTATGTAGATGTAAGTTAGAGGGCTAAATTTACAGCATTCTCCTGGAACAAAGGAGCCTAAATAGACTACCATGTGCTATATGAATGGCAGGTAGTCATTGCAGTTGCTTCTCTGTAACACATATGGGTGTTAATTTCCCTTTTTGACCTTGGCTTCTTTTAGTATCACACTGTCAGGGAAATGTGCAGCTCATTGATTACATTTCACTTGTAGACTAACATAATACTCAAACTATTTTTCTTATCTTTTTAAGCAGCACATTATCTTAAGAAATACATAATCAACTAACATTTTTAAAGATGTTTAACATATCTCAAAATAGCTTTTAAATCATCTTACAGTTTAATTTTCAGGAATTTTTGTAATCTTTGGCAAGTCATTTTCCTAGCTGGAAAACAGAGATTAGAGAAACACAAATCAAAGGATTCAAATGCCATATTAACAAGCTGGCTCCAATCCATTTTATATCCTCAGACCACAGAGGAGCCCAAACAACTACGGAATTCATACAGGTTCCCAGTTACAGGAAAACCAGATGAGAATGTGGGCACAGACAGGAATATCCAATAACCCCTGAGGGATGAAGGGAAACTTCTGAATCCATGACCTTTTCATAAGAGATCAGTCTTGCACCTAAAGGAATATATCATTTTATGTGTATTTTCCAATTTTCTTATAATATAGGTGATTCCAAGGTTATTGCTACCTTCCATTATCCCAAGAACTGAAAACACACACCAACTTGATGTACTCTATTAACTTTCAGGCAATCAACTCCAAGAAGCTATCACTGCATGACTATGGGAAATCAGTAAGCTTTCAAAGAAGTCTACAAACTCTGGTTGAATATCACTATAGCAAATCTATCAAAAACATGAAAGAACTTCAGATGCCCTGTTGGACACCTTCTGTAAGTTGAGTAGCTATATGTGATCTATGGATCCAATCTCTTCCATGATTCAAGCTAACTTTTGATAATAAGTCAAGAATATTTTAAGGCTCCCCATGTTCTCTGACTCTTTTATAAAGAAAGATGAGTTAGGAACACAGAATTTCCTATTGGTTCTGTGTATTTGACACTTATTGGACACCTATTATGTCTCAGACATTATACCAAGTATGGAAAATGGAATGAGATTAATTCTGACCTTACCCTTAAGAATCTTAATGTCTTTAGAGCTACTGCATTGCAACAGTGTAATATGATGTGTATGGGGAATATGTTACTTTATCTCTACTAGAAAAGGTGATTGCAGTATTGTTTGGCATATGCTAAGCTAGAGGAATGCACACTGGCTTATAGGAAAATGAAAGAGGCACATAAAACACAATGGAGGGTGGGGATGGTCAGAGAATGCTTCCCAAAGAAAGTAACACAACAGCTGAGATTTGAAGGTTCTGTGGAAGAAACTAAATGAGCCATAAAAATAGAAAACAAGATGGTACCCTCATGGCTAAGCTCATTAGAGAAACAAATTTAGTTTGTAGTCATCTGAACTTGCTAATACTACTCTCTGTCCCTATTCCAGCTGACTCTAGACTTGGCACTGTTCTCACCAGAAAGTTTGGGTCTGCAGAACAGGATTAGTATCTCACTCTTGGCCTCAAAATAGACAGAAGGAAAGAATACCCAACCATTATAACTAATGAATAGATTAGGTCCACCTAAGTAGAAATGTGGGCCAATGGCCTTTACTTACCAATGGGATACTAGGAAGTGTGAATGAGGGAGAGCTGAGAAGCCAACAATGTTATTTATATTAGTGAAATCTCTCCACATGAAAATAAGAAAAGTAAAGACTACATGTTCCTCTCTAATACCACCCTAATTCAAATCACCGTCGTTTCATACTTGGATTACTAACCTGGTCTCTTAATTGGTCTCCCTAATTTCAATCTGGTCATGCTCTACACAGTAGACAAAATAATTGTTTCTATTGTAGTAAAATATATATAATACAATGAACTAAATTGTTTGCTCCTGAAATTTATATGTTGAAGCAGTTCCAACCCTCAATGTGACTGTATTTGGAGTAAGGAAGTAATTAAAGTTAAATGAGGTCATAAGATTGTGGGCCTGATTCAATAGATTAATATCCTTAGAAGAGGAAACATCCCAGAGCCAGCTATCTCCTCTTCCCTCTCTCTCCCCCCCCACCCTCCTTTTCCTTCTCTCTTTCCTCCACTCTCTGAGGAAAGATCATGTGAACACATAGCAAGAAGGTGGCCATCTACAACCAAAGGAGAAACCCTTCCTCAGACATCAACCCTGCTGGCACCTTTATTTGGGACCTCTCAGCCTCCAAAACTGTGAGAAAATAAATTTCTTTGGTTTAAAGTTCCTGAACTACAGTATTTTGTTATAGCAGCCTGAGATGACTAAGACACATAATGTAAAATTTACTACTTTAACCGTTTTACAGTGTACAACTCAGTGGCATGAAATGCATTCACGATTTGTACAATCATCAGCACCATCTAGCTCCAGGACCTTTCAATCACCCCAAAAGGAAACCCTACACTCATTCAGTAGTCATTTTCTGTTTCCCATACCTTCCAGCCTCTGGCAACTATCTTGTAATCTGACCTGGGTTTTTTGTTGGTGTGTTTTGTTTTGTATTGTTTGTGCTGGGGATTTAACCCAGGACTTTAAGCATACCAGACATGACCACTGAGCTACATATGCCTCAGCCCTAGCCCCTGGCAATTACTAATGTGCTTTCTATTTCTACAGTTTTGGCTACTCTAGATATTAATATAAACAGAATAATATAATAGAGGGTTTTTGGGTCTAACATCTTTCACTTAGCATCATGTTTTCAAAGCTTAATCCATGCTATAATATGTATAAATATTTCTCTCCTTATTATGGCTGGATGATATTCCACTATGAAAATATATCAACTTTTGTTTATTCATTCATTATTTGAAGGACTTTTGGATTACTTCCACCTTTTGGCTATTTTAGTAGTGCTGCTATAAACTTTCATGCACAAGTTTTTGTCTGAACACTTGTTTGGGTCTAAACCTAAAAGTGAGCTCCTAATCATATGGTAACTCAATGAGGTAACTGACTGAGGAACTGCCAAACTATTTTCCACAGTGACTGCACTATTCCATATTCCCACCAGCATTATATGACTCTTCCCATTTCTCCACATCTTGAAAACACCTGTTCTTTTAGAAAAATCTTTTTACAATATAAATCTGTTAATTTCACTCCCCTAGGTTAAGTTAAAAAGTAGACCATTTGCCATGCTTACAAGGTGTCACACATTAACTGGCCTGCCTCTTCCTCCTTATCTCCTTCCATTGTCTCCCTCAATCTCTGACCTGCAGGCACATGGCTCTTATAAATGCCCCTTTGAAAGCATTAAATGGATTCTCTCAAGATGCAGACTTCATTCCTGCTGTCCCTCCAGACCTCATGGCTCTTCACTCCCAGAAAAGATCCCTGCTTTAAAAGCCATTCTTAGGAGAATCTTGCAGAGAATCCTATGTAAGAATCCCCTACAGATGCACATATATCTTTTAGTCCTTGGTATCTCATCGCCCTGGATCATTACCTTCATAACTTTCAGAACTATCTAAAAATCATTGTCTGCTGGTTACTGTCATAATCTACTAGAATGACTTTCATGGTTGAAGGACCTTGATTATGTTCACGTAAACTGCTATCTCCCCACTGGAATGGTCACTGCGTCAGAAAAAATACTCCATGAATAAATTATTTAATAAATGAATGAATTCCAAACTAAAGAAGCATCATGGTCAAGGACATAGACACCAAGTGGTTTAGGAAGATCTGTAAACCATAGATATTTTAGACAGTTGCAGAAAAGGTGTCTACTCAGGGAGTAGTGGAGGGAACTAGCTTAGGGCAGATCTTCAAGCCATTGTGAGCTAAGCTAAGGAGTTTGATATTTATCTGGAACACTACTGGCAAGCCCTTGAATTGTACATAGGTAAAATACATGGCTACGCTTACATTCTAGGAAAATCACTGTGGTAGTAGTGTACAGAGTGAACTGGAGGGAGGGAAACCAGTAGTGAGCAAAGAGGTGAGAAGAACTTTCTGGTCATCCCAGGAAGTCTGTGAACACCTGATGTAAAATAGTATACAGGGAGATAAGGGCTTGGATGCAAGAGGTGGGAATGTACAAAGTTATCTCTGAATTTTGGCAACCTGCCATATATTCAAGATGCTTGAGGAAAGGAGTAGAGGATAGTCAGAGTCTGATTTTTGAGGGACAGTTATAGTGGTGCTCTTTGCCTAAACAAAGGAGAAAAGGAAAGAAAGCAGATTTTGATTCTGGACAATCTGAGTTTGAGTTTCTCTGAGAATAAAAGTTGGATACATTAATACATACATCTTACATCAAGCAAAATGAAGAGAGAGAAAAAAGAAGGGAGGAAGCAGAGAGAAAGGGAAGAAAGGAGGGAATGAGAGATGGAGAGAAGAAGAAAGGCAGACAGCAGGAAGAAAGTAGAGAAAAAAGGAAGGAGATTTTATATATATATATACATATATATGATATAGGTATATGAATATAGATATATAGATATAGATATAGATAGATATTTGATTGGGGTGTCAGGCTTTATTATTAAGTAAGAAAGGCTACAGATTTTAATGAAAATAAGATTCCAAAATATGGCATGAGTCTAGTAATGAGTGATAGGTAGGAGACAATTATAGAAGGAACCTTTTCAAGGAAGAAGCTGAATTTATTGATATATATCAGAGAAAACCTACAAGATCCCGGTGTGCTGGGATTCATGATATGCACAGTTTTATTTTTTTTATTTTTTAAATTTAAATTCTTTTATTGGTACATTGTAGGTATACAACACAATTACATTTCTCATGGGAACTTGTACCTTTACATGATGCATCTTGGTTCTTATTTTTCCCCATTCCTAGCCCTCCCTTCCCTATTTACAAAGACTTTGTATTCATTTTTTCCATTTCTCATCATTTTTCCTTTCCCTTCTTTCCTTTCTCCTGCCCCTCCCACTTCCCCTACCCCTTTGGACCTTTTCTTCCTATTTTGCATTATCGATTATTCATTCTAATCATTGGTACATTTTAGGTATACAGTATAATGACATTCATCATTGGAAATTTGCACCTTTACATAGTCTCTCTTGGTTCTTATTTTTCCCCCTTCCTCTGCCCTTCAACCCCTCCATCCCTCCCTATTTACAAAGACTTTGTTTCCATTTTTCCATTTTCTCATATTAATTCCATTCCCTTCTTTCCTTTCCCCTACCCCTCCCACTTCCCCTTCCCCTTTGCCCCTTTTCTTCCTATTTCACATTATCTATTATACCTTTTAGTCCTTATTTACTCTTTCAGTTTCTCACACTAGAGAAACTATTCGGTATTTATACATGTGTGTCCTGTTTATTTCACTTAAGAGTATCGCCTCAATGATACACACAATTTTAAAAGTGTACCCCAGGCCCAGGGCTTTTAATGAGTTTGACTTTAATTTACATCATGAATATTTAATCCATTTCTAAAACTCAGTAATGTCTTTGTTCTAGTGGCATTTCTACAAATGTGTTTCCCTTGCCACTGCAGACAAAAGACTATTACTTCCAACTATTACCAGGATGTAAAATATAAAATGTTCATTTCCTGCTCAATTCCATCAAAAAACTAGAGAAATTGGAGCAGAATTTCTAATATTCTTCTACTCCAGTATGTGTCTCCCTTTTAAGAGGAGTTTGAGACCCTAATTCTAGAATAACATTTTCCATATAAATATGAACTATATAAAATAGTCATTAGTTATTAGCCACATTTTTCATCATTGGTTAAAGATCTTTTTTTTAAGAAGAAAACTAGACACCACTAAGATGACTATATATGGTACTTAGTACTCTCTTGACTTAACTGACATGTCCAATACAGAACACACACATTTTCTTTGTTAAGAGACCAGCCATTGGTCCCAGTGGTAAAACAGGTGGAAATGCTCAGGGAAGGCCAAGACGTCTGTGATAGATTAAAAGTTCACATGAGTGCTTCACTTCCAGCTTTCTGAGTGACTAAACCAAAGCCAGGCATCAGCCATCCTAGCCAAGAGCTCCCTGTACAATTCCCCAGGGGTTTTGTCCACTCCATTCTCATTTGAAATGTTTTTATAGTGATGATAAACTGACTCCAAATAGAAAAGTCCCAAAACACATGGTCTCTGTTACTGCAGAATAGGTTCAGATGTGTTTCTGTAATGTAAACATGCACCCTGCCTCTTCTCACTGTGCTCCAATGTTGTCAAAAATACACAAAAAGTATGTAGAGAGAGAATTTGAGGCCAGTTAACCCTTGTAAATAAAATACCATTCAATGGAATATCAGGTATTTCTGATTTTCTGAGACACATTTAGGCAGAAATGTAGGAGGATCTTGACAACAGCTTACTTAACAGGCTGTGCTGAGAGGCATCAACTGTCAGAGGAGTTCTTCTCCACAGTGCTTTGTGACTCTTAGTCTCCTGAAAGAATGAAAATTCATTATGAGGGGAGCCACTGGCTTTTCACATGTTTAAAGCATTGCACTAACCTGGCAAATGAGCTTGTTAGAAGACTTCCAGGGTCGATGATAAACCTGTGCCAATACGCACTGTTAAGAGGCAACATGAAGTAGACAAAGAACCAGGAAGTGGCAGAAAAAAGAAAAGTTTGGTTGAAATCCAGCTCTGCCACTGTCCAGGAATTCCTAATCTTCTCATTGTCTCTGTATCCTATGATAATATCTATTTTGAGGAATTGTTTTAAGAATTAGAGTCAATTAACATGTTAAATGCTTAGCACATTGCCTGACACTTCTTGCTAGCTCTTCCAATCTAGTTCAATTTCACAAAACCAGGAGATAATTAGTCTGCAAAGAAAGAAGGATCTTTCTCAACTTCTCAGTGGCAGAAAAGAAACATGCCCTCATCCAGCTTCAAATCCAACCAGAAGACCATCCAGTAAAGATGGAAATGCCCCAGGTAAGCTGCTTAAGTGGGAAAGTAGGTTAAAATTCCCCCTATCCTACAATTAGCAAAATGCTGGTATTAAAATGGCAGCTACTACAGCAACAGGATCAGGTGCCCTGAAGAGGCCCTTATGTTTTCCTAAGACCACAATGCCTCAGTTCATGTTTCCCAGCAAACTAATGATTCCCTTGACTGTTATTAGTTAATTCAGAACAAACAATGGGAAAACTCAGTAAAATTTCAGAGGGGAATACCAAATGAACTTGAGCTGAACTATCGCATCGGCCAAAGGATTGTGATGACGTGGGAATGAAACAATATAGGCTACTGCCAGCAGTGAAGGCAAACACAAAAGCATGGAATTCAGTGTGGCTAATTCTCCAGAAGAGATTTCACAAGGGCCCAAATCCTCCAAAGCATAAAAATCACATGGGCTCTCACTAAAAGGAAGTCAGGCACAATGCAAGGAAGGGCTTGGGAGCACTGGCTGGCGGCCCAGGCCCTTGGACAAGTTGATTTGTGCAGCCAGGACAGCAAGTACATGCAAATACAGCAACACCAAGGTGAAGACCAGGGAGATGGAATCATAGACAATGGGGCTAACAGCAATTGTTAAGGAGGGTACTTCTTGGTAGGACTGTAAGTGAAAGAATTGAGAAGGAAGAATCAGCTTCCCACTTCAATATATCTCAGGACCAACACCTCTACCTACCTTCAATAATGACTGAGTACTACCCAGTTATTGAGTTCGGTGCTCAGTACTAAGAGAGCAGTTGTGGTAGATGCCAAGAAACTAAAGCCCCTTCCATGAAATACAGGCTAATGTCTGAGTGAGGATGCAAAAAAACAGCCCTCATGAAAATCACCCTTACAAAATGTGCCTCTCAAAGTTTAGATCCATGCCTTGTTCCTTTGTTTAACCTCCAGAGTCAATCACATTGCCAAGTACTTGGCTCAGTGGAGGATAGCTAATTTCAAAATCTTATTATATTGACCATAAATAAGAGTTAAGGGCTAGAGTATACGCTGGTTGTAGAGCTCTTGCCTAGCATGTGTGAGGCACTGGGCTGGAACCTCAGTCCACAAAAAAAGTAAATAAATAAATTAGATACAGAGAAAATTTGATGTAGATGCAGTTGGTCAATTGAGTCTTCCCGGAAAATATGGAGAGAGAGGGGTGCAATAAAGGAAAATAATATTCCAGAAAGAAGGGCCAGCACAAGACCCAGTAGAAGACACTATAATCCTGTGTTCATTTGAATTACCGCTTCTTAGTGTGTGATCTACAGACCGCCCAGAATGGATTCTGGCACCAGCAACTAAATTCAAATGTCTTAAGTATGGAGCCTAGAAATTTGCATTTCTAATAAGCACCCAAATTTCTTTAAAGCACATAAAAATTGAGCTAGAAAAGGGAAAGTCAAATTTAAACAAATATACAGTATACTCTTCCCTTAAAGAAAGAAAGGTAGGAAGGAAGTAGAGGGAAGGAAGCAGGGGAAGGGAGGGGAAAGAGAGAGAGGGAGGGAGGGAAAACAGAGTTAAGAAAGAAATTTGTAAAAGTACTATGTAGAAAGCAACTTTGGAAAAGGAGTCTCTCTACAAATGACTGTTTTGCAATGCAGAAACCAAATCTGAATAGCATCCATGGCACTCTGAGCCCTTCATTAGCAAAGTTTTGCAGTACCCTAGAGACAACAAATCATTAGTGAAGGTTCCTCCCCAGAGAGTGGCCATTCTTCAATCTGGTGAATGCTCTGAGAAGTAGAAAGTGGAGATGTTGAGCAGAGAAGCCATCTCAGAACACTTGCTCCCATCAAGAGATGTAAGTGCCTAAGGGCCTGAAACAGGATGGTAGAATTTAAAATGAACTAGAAAGCCAAATCATCTATTATTGTGCTTCTAACACCTCTGCTTTATGGGAACTCCAACTATGCTCAGAAGATAAGGGCTCTGTTCTCTTTGAGACCTGTACATCAACCTGTCCGCCTCTCCTGTCTATCCATGACCTTGCTGAATGCACATCCCTCTTCTGTTTCCTTGCTGTCTTCCTTCTTCTGACTTCAACAACATACTGTTGCCTTCCTATCTTTAAAAAAAAATTCAACCTACATCCCTCTCAGCCGACCATTCTAGTTCTCCCTTTCCCTGTCATTAACAATGCCTTGAAAGGATTTTCTATATTCACTTCTTTGATTATTCCCAAACCATGGCAGTCTGTCCCTGACATCTGCATTCTTTCTTAGGGCTTCAAGATCTCCAGTTACTAAGTAACTTCATACTTTCTGAATCTAATAGACATAACTTTAACTTCACCTCCCTGTGATATTTGGCTTCTCTCCTTGAATTTTTCTCCTCACTTGTCCTCCAGGCCACTGCTTTCAGTTTTCTTTAAACTTTTTAGAAGAGGAAAATTATCTTTTGTGTTGCTGTTCCCAACATTTAGTCATTAAGTTCCTCTCCCTTTGCCTAATTTCTTGGAGAGAGTTCATTTAGAATCTGTTATTATTGCTGAATAACAACCTACCCTAATATTTAGAAACAAAATAATCATTTTATTATATCGTGAGCCAAGAATCTGGAAAGTGTGCAGTGGGGACGAGTCCTCTCTACTACAAACTCTGAGCTGAGAAGACTCATAGGCTGGGGGTGACTTACAGGCTAATGGTCTAAATGTATGTTTCCCCTGAAATTCATATGTTAAACTGTAAGTCCATTCCAAAGTAGGGCCTTTGAAAGGTTACTAGGTTTGGATAAGTTCATGAAGGTGAAGCTGCCATAATAAAATCAGTGCTCTTATAAGAAGAAGAAATCAGAGCTTTCTTTTGAGGAGGCAGCAAGGAGGCCATCTGCGCACCAAGGAAGAGGAGCCTCACCACACACCAGACCTACTAGCACCATGGTCTTGGACCGCTCAGGCTCCAGAAGTGTGAAAAATAAGTCTTTTGTTTAAGCCACCTAGCCTCTGGCATTTTTCCATAGCAGCCCTAATGGTATAAAACAGACTGGAAAGAAGACTCTCTACTCGAGCATGGTGCCTGGTCTGGAATTACCAATACTAATTTAGTAGCTGCAATACGTGACATCCCCATGTAGCCTAGCTTTCCCACTGCATGGTGGACTTTGGTCTTTAGGCATGAGTATTACAACCAACAAGGACACACCTCTACTATCTTTTCTGAGCTAGCCTCAGAAGTCACACAGTCTTACTTGCTCTCATTCTACAGGTAATGTAAGAATCACACATCTATGCAAGTTGAAGGGGAGGTGAATACACTCCACCCCTTCAAATGAAAAATATGAACAAATTTTCAAACAGTTTTTAACAAATGTCTAACATCCACAGCCACAGGTTCTACTACAATTTCAACATATTCATCTCAAGCCCACTTTCTGTATATAGATAGATAGATAGATAGATAGATAGATAGATGTATATATGTATAAAAAATTGCTTACTATACTACTAGCACTAATAATAATAGCAGTGACTCTAATCATTTTGTATGATCAGGTACAATTACAGGTACAGGTACAGTATCTGATACTTTTAAGTCTTATAAACTTCACTATAACTCTAGGAATTAGAGTGTAATATTTGATATATATATAATGTATAATGTCAAATCAGAGTAATTAATATATCCATCACTCAGACACACCATTCCTTTGTGTTGGAAATATTCAAATCCTTTCATCTTATTTTGAAATATACAATCAATTATTATTAATATACTCATACTATTGTGTCATAGAACACAAGATTTATTCTCCTATGTAACTTTATTTTTATAGCAAATCGCTAATATCTCTCTACCCCCATTACCCCATTTCCAACCTCTGGCCACAACTATTCTCTCCTACTTTTATGAGATCAACCTATTTAGTTTCCACATGTGTGTGAGAACATGTGGTATTTGTCTTCTGTGCCTATCATCACCATGTGATGTTAAACAACTTGCATTAAGATCCCTCAGGAAGTGCATTGTAACTATACTGTGACTCAGACAGTCTGGCTCCAAATCTTGGTCTTTCAACCCGGGCACTGTATGGCACAGATATTTTACAGGCACTTCAAAATCACTATGACAAAAACAATGCTCTAATTCACCATTCCCTAATTATAGCAAAAATATCTTGCTGTACTTCTTATATATTCTTTCCTTGTTAAAAATTCCACAATCTGGGTAAAACTCAACACAGAAGTCTGAGAGCCATCCAACTCTCCTAAACTCACCCTCATGCCCCAGGTGAGATTTGTGCCAGATTATGCCAATGAACTTCTTATCAACTCCCAAATCTGCCATCCCCATTCCCCCTTCAACGTCTTCCCCTGGATTGTCCCATTGTTTTAACTGGATTCCCTGCTTCCCTATCTCCTTCTCCTTCAACTGCAATGCAACCTCCCATCTTCTGTGGTGCAAACTTGATTATTATACCTTTGGCTTAAAGCTCTTTATAACTTCCCGATAGAATAAACTCAAATGTCAGTACACCATACATACAAAGTCCCTTCTGCTATGGCCCCTGACTACCACAACCCTTGTCTCCTGTCTCTACCCAATGTTAACCTCTTGCCATGCCAAATTATTTGCTGCTTCATAATTTTCCATGTGTCCCTTGCCTCCTTATACACATCCTATATACAGTTTTCTGTCTGGAATGTTCTCCCTCCCAGTCCTCTCCCAGTTCTAGCCAATCAGAAAACTTACTAACCCTTTAAGATCCAGCTCCAGCATCCTCTTCTCTCGGAGTTTTCTTTGACACCTTTCCCAACAAAAGTTGTCATTCTTATTCCATCACTGTATAAAATATTCTCCCACTGTTTCCTTTAAAAAGCAAAAAAGGGAAATAACAGACTCATACCAAAAGAGCCTCTTAGAGCAATACCAAAAGCCAAAGCAAGAATGCCTAGGAGTAATTAGGGTCAGGGTCAGGCCAACTCTTCCTCCTTAGAACATTCCCTCACTGCTATTCTCACTTCTACCCCAATGGTCACCTCTGAATACTTTCCTATTAATGATAGTGAACATAGGAGGTGGGAAAACTAAATTTCATTTCCCTGCTTTTTCCACTCATGGCAAAGCCTTAAGAACTCATTAGGTATTATGTGGATATTGTACAGATGTTGCCTACATCTAAATGATGCCAAAATAAACAATAAAGAGATAAAGAAAAAGTACCATAAAATCAACTGGTTCTAAAAACCAGCTGGTGGAGTATAGGTATAAACAACTGATGATGTCAGTTATACAACATCAAATAACTTGCCTGGCTTTTTTTCCTAAATGGAAGTGTGTGTGTGTTGCAAACTCAGCCAGCAGCTGACAGAGGATATGTGTTATGCAATAGTACAGCCAGCCCAAATAAGCAAAATCAACAAGAATATACATTACATTTATCTTCTTGGTAATTCAACATAGATTGGGCACTGGAAAATGTGTGAAACTAAATAAACTCTTTTCCCCTGAGACTTGAATTATAATCTACCATGGTAGGCAAAGTAGTACCCATTTTGGCTTTGTACTTACATTTTTCCCAGATTGGCCCATTTTGCATATAGCTTTCTGAATTTCTTTTCTCTTTTCTTCATCAGTCTTAAAATTGTGTCTAAACAGACTACTCTATTAAAAGTGTATTGGGTCGGGGATTTAGCTCAATGGTTTTGCCGCCTGCTGTGCAAGCACAAGGACCTGAGTTGGATCCCCGGTATCAAAAAAAAAAAAAAAAGTGTATTGCAATCCTCCTTTCCTGGACTGATATGGTCCTATCCTATTGGATATGAAGTCCAACATCATTCTCAGGTTTTTAAAGCATTTCATGTTTCTCTTGCCTCATCCTTTCCCCTCTCCTTGAGGATCAGAAGAGCCTGAAAAATAACACCAGAAATACTCAATTGCCTACTGAGATGACAGCAGGACCCTGCCCAGACTCTCCTGATCTTTATTTCTATATATTGGAGTCAGGCAGACCTAGATTTTGGGCTTATTAGCTATATGATCTTATAGAGGTTACTCAGCTTCTATGAAATTATTTCTTCACTTTAAAAAGGTGAAATTAATTACAGCAGTCTCCTGGGCCGTGAGGATGTACTAAAATCACATGTTAAGCAGTCACTGCCTACGGGACCACAGAGGTTCAATGAGCACCTACCGCCTCCTTTCCCTCTGCAATTGCATCCAGTTTGGGGACCCTCCTGGTCTCTCACACTCCCCTGGGCATCCTCACTCTGGCTGCAACATCCACACGGGCAGCCTCAACTCCTCGGCTACTGTTAACCCTCATTTCCCATGGGCCAAATACAGGCCTAGATGCTGAATTCGAGGCAGAGGACAATTACTGCATTCAAAATTACTGACATTTATATCTTGAGTGTATTGGTTACTCATCCATTCATATATATTCTTGGATGGTTCATGAGATTGAACATATGTTTGAGCAACATTTTTACTTTAGATCCCTTTGTTTCAAAAGATAAATTCCTAGTACTATAATATACTACCCATAAATATATATCAATGTATACATATTTTTTAATTGTGGAAATACTAAATGTTTATTGAGCACCTGTGCTGTCCGAGGCACTGTGCAGAAGTAGCCGATTTAATTCTCACACAATTCCCACCCTAACCCTGAGAGGCAGTCACAATCATTACCCCTATTTTACAGATGAGGCAACTAAAACTCAAGGAAGTTGGGTAACTTGGCCAAAGTCACATAGCAAGTTAAATTATTAACGCCCTCAAAACTGCTAAATAACTCGACGCACTAACGTGCTTGTGTTTTGTTTTAATTGAAAGCATGGCGGCTGTGGTTTGTCTGCTTTTAACTTCCAGTAAAGCTCCTCCTGAGCTCCAAGCAGACGATAAACAGGAGGACAGGTGTGATTTTAAAAGAGTGATAGAAGCTGTAACCCGAAGCCTCCTCCGCGCCCGCCGCCCGAAGGGTCTGGGTGGCTGCACCCCGCCGGCGCGCGCTGCACACTCCCATGGGCCGGGCGCCTCTCACTTCCAAAGTTGGAGCTCTCCGTGGTGGGAGGGGGCGGGGAGCGGAGGGGCCCGTGACGTCACTCGGGAGCACGGATAAAGCTCCCGGCTGCGCCCCGCCAGGACGCTGCCCCGGGAAGCAAAGTCGGTTGTCCCACTCGTGGACACTTGCGGTGTGCAAGCCGCCCCTCGCTGCGTCCTACTCCTAGGGAGCCAAGGCCCCCACCCGTGGGAGCCGGGATGCCCCAGAACGTGGTCCTCCCGGGCCCTGCACCCTGGGGCTTCAGACTCTCGGGGGGCATAGACTTCAACCAGCCTTTGGTCATCACCAGGGTAAGTGTTTTCCTCTCTTTCCTTGCCTTTCAGTCGGAGACTCTGGGGTCCGGAGAGGTGCTGGGTACTGAGGAGTGGCCAGGGCTCCCGGGGAGGGCGGGCAAGACCTTGCGCTGAAGAGTCCTGGGCTTCCGGCTCTCACTTGATTCCAGGGACTGCAGCAGTTTGACAAGTTGAGATTTGGAAGATGCAGAGCAGTTTACAGAGTTAACAAAGTCAACTCAAAAGCTACATCAGTTTGGTCCCCAGCAACGTTCCGAAGAGGGTCAACTGACACTGATTTCCCTGCGCTCAGAAGCCGAGGCTGCCTGCGAGGGCCTGGATGCCTTCTCGCTTTCCTCGCTGCACCCCACCTTCCTTCAGTAGCAAACAGGTGGGAACCTAGGGAGGGAAACGCGAAAGACTGACAGCTGCAAACGTCTGTGTCGTGGAGCCAGGCGTGCATTTGAGCGTTTTTCTTCTCCGGATGCAAACTTCAGCAAGGGCGCTGTTCGAAGGGCACAATCCGAGTTGGCCAAGTTGCAACGGCTCGTATCAGCCCAAACGGGGAAAATATTACTAATGTGTATTCCTGGGTTTCCAGGCATTTTAGATAAATATTTTCCAAAGCTGGGAACTTGGCTTAGGAATCATTATCTACAACTCAAACTATAAAGAAAACGTGCCAGAGAGTTTAGTGTACCTGATAGAAAGCAACCACTTAGGCTAATAACTCTGAAAATAATACTTTGATACTAAAGCCAAACTTTTCCTTACTCAATGTTCTCTAAAGCACTAATTAGGAAAAACAAAAAAAGAGAAAGTAAAAATGAAACTTCAGGGTTTCTTTCTTGCTGGTAAATTTCTAGTGTTAATTCTAAAGTTATTATTTGCGCTAGTTTTTTTTTTCTTACACAAGTATTTTTCTTAATAGAAAACAATTATTTTAGTTACCACATATAGAGTGTTTTAAACCTCATTGAAAGGCACAAACGTTCAGAATATTACACTTTTATTTTCCAAATGTTACACTTCTCTTTTTTCTTACTGCTTATAATGTATTTTATAAATGTATACTTTATAATCTGATCACTCAAAGATTTTGAACAAGGTAGTACCTTTTTAATGCTGTTATATTTATATACATGAGTTTTGAGAACAAATGTCACTTCAAAATAACTCAAAATATGTATCATACAGATGCATACCATGTATCATTTGAAACCAAAATCATAAACACGTCTGACATGTGTTTTTTTGTTGTTGGTTTTTGTTTTGGGTTTTTGGTACTGGGGATAGAGCTCGGGTCCTTGCACTTGCATAGCAAGCGACGAAACCACTGAGCTAAATCTCTGGCCCTGACATGTGTTTTTAGATAAAACTTGAAAATTTAACATGTCCCAAAAATTGTTCCTAAGAAAATTAAGCAGAAAATGCGTCCATGACCTGGGCCAACATATTCCTTTTATAGATTTTCCAAAGAAAACAGTTTACATTATCTCTTCTAAGAAATATGTTAAGTTTATAGAGTATACTTTTCATTTATTTATATTAAATGAAACAAGCTTTTGGATCCTTACAAAGAATAATTCATATTTAGATTAAATCCTAAAGAAACAATTTTGTACCAAATACCTTTCAAGGAATTTACAAAAGAAATATTTTTACTCTTCCTATGTAACATATTAGTATAATTAATCATACGTTTGAGATTTTGAGTTGTTGATATTATAAGCAATGTTTATTTTGAAGCAGCATTACATCTGTAGTTGGACAACAGAAATTATTGGTAAATCTATCTTATATAATGACAATTGTTTGAAAAGCCAATTCTGTCTTGAATTTCTAATTTATATCTAATTTGTCACTCATTTGGATTTTTGATCCAATAATAGTGAGTAAGCAGATATGATTGTTTCATGTGAGTATGCCTATTCAGTTATTTTAACTCCAGAAGAGCTGGTGAAACACACTTGTTTTAGTGTCCCTAAAGCCATGTATATCACAGATGCTTGTTGAATAAATGAATGTTCACTGGAACTTTTATGCCTTAGTGAAAACCTAGTTAAAAATATTTCCACTGAAACTATAAGAGTACTGAAAATCATTTAGAAGAAGACTAAAAGCTATTATTCTAATATAATTAATGTTATTATTAGGTAGTAGAATCATCTGATTTTATTTTATATTATTTTTAAGTGTTGAGGAGGTTATAAGTGTGTGATGATAACTCTTCTGCTTCCATGCATTCTTCTAAGCCCTTTATATTCACTAATTCACTGAAGTCTCACAATCCTATGAGAAGATGCCCTTTTGCCGATGAGGAGAATGAGGCATCAGGAGGTGCATTATCCTGCCAGTGCTGACAAGTGGTGCATAGGCTTTGATGCCAGATCAAGTTTGCATTCTGAAATCCCCACATGAAAAAAATTCCACCCCCACCTCATACATGTTCTATGGATTCTAGGTCTTCTTCAGGATCTATCTCTATTTTTTTTACCATTTTCTTTAGTCAAGATTTCATAACTGCATACTTAGACATTTATTTCCTCTCTCCAATACACCCTGTATGTTCTTACCAGCCATCTTGGAAATGTACAGGAGTTTCCCCATCTGTGTTAGTCTTAAAAATCCTTCAATGGTATCACCAGATTGTACAAAATAAACTTGTGACCTTTAGGATGGCATTTGTGGCTTTTTAGTATCTATCCCAACTTGACTTCCCAACTTCATTTCTCCTGTCTCTTCTGCTTCTCTTTCCTCCTCTCACTGTATACATGAGCAGTTGTGGCACTACTCTGAGCCCCTTATGAGTGTGCTAACATGTCTTTGCTCCTGATATATATATATTTCACTTTCCCCAGGATTCTTTTACCTGCCCTACCCCTACTGTCCTCTATGCCTATGGAAACCCTTTCACATACTATTTTCCAAGCCTTCTAGTAATCCATTCATCTGTCTGATTACCATAACTTCTGACCTATCACCTCTCTTTATGATCATGCCATGTACCACATACATTAAAGTATGTCTGTGTCATACTAGGTTGCATACTCCCTGAGGGTAGGAGTTGTCCACTTTGGGGGCCACTAGCATGGTGTCTACTACATCATATGAGTTGTAAAATAATACAGACACAATATGAATGATTGACTAAATTGCTCACTTTTTGCATAACTTTATTTTCATAAATAGGTACAGGATTTTGTTCTGAAAAATATCCCACGATAAAGATAAATGATATTTTTTTAGTTATTTGTTTCGGATAAGTTCTTAAGTATTCAAAGAATTGAAAAGCAATGTTTATACTAAATGTCACAAAACATTCTGTTCATGAGATGTTATTTCCTCAGGTCAATTAAATCAGTTTTTTTCCTGCTACAAACTGCCCTTCCTGCTTTACACTATACAAAATCAGACTACAGATGATCCTCAACCAATGATGGTGCTACTTTACAGTGATGTGAAAGTGGTACACACACTACAAACCATGGACTACAATACACAGTACGAAATACTATGGGGTAGCAACATACAGTATCCCACTCTCTAGATGCTAGGCAGCAGCAGTGAGCCACAGTTCTGTCAGCTGTATGATCATGAGAGTAAATAACTGAGACTCCCACTGCGCTGCTATAAACTATAATGTTTCCCAGACTCGGTGTATTAAATGCATTCCAACTTACAGAGTTTTCAACTTTGTAAAGAAGTTGCAGGTTATCCAAACATAATCTCATCATAAGTCAAGGAGCTGTTAGCAATGCTTCTTGACAATGGAACTTCAGCCAAAGTTTGTGTGAAGGTGCAAATGTAAATCTCTCCGTCAACTGAAACTGCACTTCACAAAATTAAGACATAAGGTCTCTGTCCATAATTAAGACAAAAGCTATCTGCCCTACAATTGTTCACAAACTAATTAATCAGTGACATAAATCTTTGAATCGTTTAAAATACACACATATCAAAAGTAAAGTAAATCAAACAGCAGACACCAGCAGTTTCTAGGCAATAAGTATCCTATAGATTGTGCAAGATACAATTTAAGTTTTAGATGTTCAGTTTAATGGAGGAAGTGGTAATTTCAGTACCATATAAAATTGTTCTAAGTATTTCACAGAATAATGTTTAAGTTCATGTCTCTAAGTGAGCTTTTGATTTTCTTGCAAGAAGATTCTAAGGACTCTCTCTCTCATTTTTGAACTACACAGAAAGTGAATGTATTCTCATAGACTAGTTACAGATTATTTGCTGTCACAAAATTCCAATATGGAATACACCACAAGATTCTGTCATGTGCATGACATAAAATGATCACATATACCTGATGCCAGTATCTTTTCTACCTCCACTCTTCTTCCTCCTTTACACTCTTCTCTCCTTCCTATTCAGAGCATACTGATGCTCAAGATCATTGTAACTAGGAATGCTAAATGTTTTTGGGTACCAACACAGAAAGTGTAATTTTAGTTGGTTTTAACACAGAAAAGTATAGTGTTTAATATAATTTATATTTGAAATCTGACCTTTTGGGAAGGAATGTTTACAGCTGAATGCAATCCTTTTCCAGGCTAAACAAATTTCATAGAAATGCCTATGTGACTAAAACCTAATATATCTTTGTGAAAGCAGACTATCTACATGAAAGCATTGGTTAATATGTTTATGACACTCATACATCCATCAAAGATCTATAATATACAGAATAGGCTTATGTGAAAGGCTCTTAGGGGCATAATTGTAATAGATAGATTTCTACCCCTGAGGTCATCACTCATGCATATAAACTGCCGCGATACAACTTGTATGTGATTCTACCAGAAAAAACATGGCCAAAAAGATAGGAGGAGGCAGAAAGAGCAAGCACCTTTAGGAGAGGCATTCTGAGCTAGTGAAAGAGAACCAGGTAGGAATTTCAGCCTTGCACTGGATGATGTATGACCTAGCGAATTTCTTATACTTAATTCTGACCATCCAGTTCTTTCACCTTAGAGATAACTATTTTGTAAGACTATCTTAGAATTAAGAGAGCTAATGGTTCTTAATAATAATAATAATACAATAACCATAAAATAATAGTTATCAGCTCTTTTTGCACATTAGAATCATTCAGATACCTTTTGGAAATACTTATGCCAGGGTGCATTATATTCCACTGTAACTGACATGGGGTATATCTCTAAAAATTGCAATTGCAGTCAGATACTGGGTGGTTGTGGATGCCAGGTGAAAAGTGGAATTTATTGGGCAGACAACAGAGAACAAATGAACAATGGGGTTTCTCTGATTTTGACCCATTCCCCCCAGTGCAGCCCCAGTGTATGCTAGGCTTGCTCCATAATTTCAATCATTTTATTTATGTATTTATTTATTTTGAAAATGATATTTTGCTATGTTACACAGGCTGGCCTTTAACCCCTAGGCTCAAGTGATCCTACTGTCTCAGCAACCCATGTAGGTGGAACTACAGGCTCCATTTTTATTCTTAACCTCAGAACCATATCAGAAGCATGTCTTGGACTTCCTTTCTTACTCCCACAGTAAATCAGACACTGTACATGCTTTATCTGTGTTTTAAATTAGTTCTTTCCAAAATAGACCCAAGTAATAAGTTAATGTGAAAAATATAAATCATCCGAGGCATTTGTTAAGGGAAATTTCCTGGCTCCTCTCCTAGAGATTTTGATTCCTGATTCCAGACATCTGGAGTAGGACTGGAGTCTTTATGTTCAGCAAGGACCCCAGGTGATTCCTGTAATCAGACAAGTTTGAAACATGGTGCTCAGTGATTGATTGCAGCGCCATTTCCAATTATCTCTGGTACTTTCAATATTTAAGACCCTAATGAACATGAATAATAAATAATTCATTGAAAAACTCTATGCTTTCTTCATCTCTCTCCTCTCCTAATTTGGGAAAACATAGTAATAGTAAACTGTGAGTAATAATATAAGACTATTACAATGTAGTAAAAAAATAGTATAAAGAAATTCTGGGGAGAATAGAGTCTTGTTTAAACAAATGGTTTACCTTACTAAAACCAGACAGTCATTTTCTGATCATCAGCCTAGCTGAACTTCAAAAGCAGGAAGAAATAAAGGCATAATTTATCTTTCTCTCTCTTCTCTCTCATATACATTCCTTATTTCTCTTTTATCAACTCTCTTTATGGAGGCCCAGAGACAGCAATTACAGGCTGAGTTCAAAGTCATAAGTGGGTTCTGGATATCACTGTCAGCCAGCTTCCCGAGTGGGCTTGTGAAACATTGGTGACAGCTATACAACTCTGCTCAGCTTTGCAGGAAGCCATGGGTCACTTAGAGACCTCTCCTCCCTGAAAACAGAGACAGTCTTCTTTTTACTGCCTCTTGTAGTGTTGTGGGAACAAAAGCATGAGAAAAAGCTTTGCAAATTATTGTTTTTCATAAATATGACACTATTAACTTTATTATTAATAGTATTAACAAATTGTAGTAATATTCAACATCTAAGATATTTAACTTATTCAATCATCTATTCAATATGTAGGTTCAATCTCTATTACTTGGATATTTAATATCTAAGTCCTAACATCCTGCTTGAAATGTGTAAACCCATACATGCAATGTTACCTCCCACTCATCCAAACCAAAGTTAAAAAAATAAATTTAATTTTTCTAAATCAGGAATGAGTGATATATAACTTAAATCCATTTAAATGTATTAGTAAAACTAAGAGAGGCTTTAAAAGCAAACATTAAGCCACACTTTATATTCTAACAAAAAAAATCATCCTACTTTCAAAAATTTAAAAATAGAATGTGCTCAGTTTGACTACATCTAGAAAAAAGTTAAAGTTTATTATTATTATTTTATCCTAAAAGCTACATTGAGGATGGAAACTTTTATTGTTACAATAGTTCTGTGTCTGAAAGAATTTCTAAGTGGAGGAAAGTTACGAAATGCCTCCAAAAGGTTAAGATGTAGTAATTCCCATTATCTTCACCTAATTTCCTGTTCATATTGGAAAATCATCATGATTACTACAGTGACATGATAACAAAAAAGGGAATATAATAAACATTTTAGTGATAAGACTGAAGATCTGGGACACATGAGAATTTATTATTTCAGCAATTTTACTTATTTAAGTGAACAGACCTCTCGTTGAAGCATAATATTAAATAAAATAGCTAGAAAAAGCAAATAGAGGAAAAAAATAAATTAATGACTGATCCTCAAGAAAAACATTAAGAACAACCTAGTTGATCCTGGAGCAGTTTGAGATTTAAGTCAAGCCCTGTATGTTATTCTTCTCTAACTTTCAAACATAACATTGATAGGTTGCTATAGTCTTTCAGTATGTAGGGACTAGCTCTGTTTTCTGAGCTCTGCTTTAAATGACCTTGTCATTCATTCTTCAATTTATCACCTATTAATTCTAAACACAGGGGTGTACATTGTAAAGCATTAGAAATACAGATGTTCTTTGACTTAAAATGGGATTACATTCCGATAAATCCATCATAAATTGAAAATATTATAAGTTGAAAATGCATTTAATACACCCAACTTATTGACCATCATTGTTTAATTAAAATCTACCATCTTGCTTGTTCTTTTTTGTTTATTCTATCTGTTCTTCATTCATGGAGAAGGTACTATCAGTGAATATGGACTTCTCTTGTGCCCATGGTTCTCATGGGTTCTGTACCACTCTTGCTAACTCACATGTGACATTTAGCAATATGGGGTTTTTTTTGGGGGGGTGGATTTTTTACTGAATTTTTCTTAACAGCTAATATGATGGGACATCTTTCTTTATGCTCCATTACAGGTGAGACCATACTCATACCCTGTCTTTCCCTGGAAGCACCTGTCTTTTCTTAGATTCCAGATTTTTTGCCCTGAATTTCAGCTGTCAAAGAGCTCAAGATATGTTTTGTATACTATCTGGCTTCTTGTTAGTGCAAGAGTAACTCCCTCTCCAGATGTTACACCCTAGTTGCCCTGTCTTAGTTTGGGCTATTATAACAAAGTACAATGGGCTGATTGGTTTATAAAAAAAAATTCTCATAATTTCTGGAAGCTAGAAATCTGAAAATAGGGTACTAGCATGACCAGATCCCAGGGAGGGCCTTCTTCCAGGTTGCAGGCAGCTAAGATCTCCTTGCACCTTCACATGATGTAAAGATAGCAAAGAGCTCTCTCTGGGTTTTGTTTATAGGAGTTACTAATCTCACTCATGAGAGCTCAAGACTTCTGACCTAATTAACTCCTAAAGGCTGGACCTGAAAATACCATCACAGCAAAAGTTAGGATTTCAACATATAAGCTGGGGACAGGGTGGGTCCACTATACTCCTCTCATGTGAATTTTAAAGATCATGCATTATCAGGAGGCTAAAGCAGTTTTAATTTAAATATGAAAGTTGCCTAAATGTAGTAAAATTTTATTTCCAAATGGAGAATTTTGGGTAGCAAATAAATAAATAAATACATAAATGGCTAGTTTAAAATCTATTTCTTTAAAACAAAGAAAATATGATTCAGAAAGGGAATTATAGATTTTAAAAGAGAATAAGAAGGGTTGGGAATGTAGCTCAGTGGTGCCGCACCTGCCTGGCAAGTACAAGGTCCTGAGTTCAATCCCTGGTACCAAAAAAAAAAAAAAAAGAAAAGAAAAGGGCTGGGGATTTATCTCAGTGGTTCTGCCACCTGCCTTGCAAGCACAAGATCCGGAGTTTGATCCCCGATAGCAAAAAAAAAGAGAGAATAAGAGATGCAATGGTACATAAAATGTGGTAAGAAACAAAATTATTTAACATGATGGGAAAATTAACACAATGGATAAGTTAGGAGTTATTTTTAGTTAGGTTTAAGATTTCCTGCCTAGTGAACAATTAAAAGTAGTACCAGGATGAAATAAAAATATCGGTCACAAAATTCAAGATGTTGCAAAGTGCTGGTTTTTAAGTTGTGTCATGATTTCTTCCAGATCACTCCAGGAAGCAAGGCGGCAGCTGCCAACCTGTGTCCTGGCGATGTCATCCTGGCTATTGATGGCTTTGGTACAGAGTCCATGACGCACGCTGATGCACAGGATAGGATTAAAGCAGCAGCACACCAGTTGTGTCTCAAAATTGACAGGTGCTCCTTAATCAATGGGGGTAAAATTTTTTTGCAAGAGAACCTGAACCAGAACTATAAATGGTTTCATCCTCCTAGTGTGAATGAGTGTGACAGGGCCTAGAATTCTTACTGGCTTTTATATATCAACCACTTTATTCTTCACTACAGTCAGTCAGTCTAGTAATTGTGAACAAATCATCTTGAGAAAGAATTCTCTGTAGTGTCAAAATAGTGAAAGAGGCCCGATGAATTTTTTCCTTCCTCTACTAAGTAGTTAATTGACTATGAAAATAGTCATTAGCTATGTAAACACAGAATATGACTAGTTATTCCACTGTTCTCAACGTGATAGAGAATGGAACAAAATGTAAACATGTTTCTAAAAGAACCTCTTGACTTCCCCAAATGTGATCATCTTAAAATTAGTTGCTAATTTCCTATATTCCATTGGCTGTTTTGTACAGAATTCACCTCATAGTATCACAAGGTATGAGAATGCATGTGTGGAGTGCATTAGCTACTGAGACATTACTGACCAAAAAGAAGAAAATTTAACCCAATTTCTTGTCACAGAGTCCTGATCTGAAACCAAACCATGAAAATAATGATTTGGCTAGAGTGATTGTTTGAATGTTTATCCTGTTGCTACTGTATTCACAACCATCTCTGTTGGTACAGAAGGCTCAATCAATTGGACAATCCACTAGTGTCTTGGATGAAACAGAGTCTTTCCCTTATTTATGTATAATCTGTGCTTCTGCCAAGTACACAGTCTCTTAGGAGCCACAGGGTCCCAGAGAGATGCATGAAAAGTGCTAGGCCAAGCACAGTTCCTTCATGCTAGTAGTAGATCTCCATCTGGCCAATCCCTCTGTGTTGCCTGTGGTGGCCTGGGTAGCATGAGAGGGAAGAGGGGAAGCCTAGGGAATTTGCTCCCTGGAATCTGCAGGGTGTACTTCCACAATCTCCCTCTTCTGTGCTATTTCCCACATGCATGGAGGCCTACTTTGTCCAGAAACTGCCCAGTGTAGTCCGGGTAGTCTTGATGCGTTCCAGATTCCCTGAAAGGATATTAAACAAGTAAGAATAATTGGATGTGAAAATACAGAATAATAAGCAAAAAATAATCCCTTCTGCTTAAATTCTTCCCAATATTTTCACAAACATACTGGAAAATTGAACTACACTAAAAGTGGAAGTACTTGTTGAATTTAGAGTTTACAAACTTTGTTTTATTTCCAGGGCAGAAACTCGCTTATGGTCTCCACAGGTATCTGAAGATGGGAAAGCTCATCCTTTCAAAATCAACTTAGAATCAGAGCCTCAGGTATGAATTCTGGAGTAAATGATATCTACACTGTGCTTCCTTTCCCTTTTGGGGATGCTTCCAAGAGGAGGGAAGTGGCAAATACAAAAATTGGAGCAAGTCACCTAATGAAGCATTGGTTTGCCTTTACTCTGAGATTAATTTATATAATCCATGTTTTCTTACACTGAGAAAAAAGAAGTATGCCTAGGGGAAAACTTGTTAAAAGACAAGTATGTGCTCATCAAGAAGAATTTAGCTAAAGCTACATAGAGTCCACTAGCTTTATTCATTTCTTATAGTGGACTTTGGCCAGATGGCTGTGAGGTAATTTAAAAAGCTGAAGTTGTTAAAACAAAGCAAAACAAAAATAAACTCGACCATTTGAAACAGGTGTCTCTAATCTAATGGTTACTGTGGACTTCAATCCTTTGAAGTCTTCACCCAGATCTTATTTTATACCCTCTAATTCTCAATTCTGGCACTCTGTAATCAAATTTACCTTACAAAAAGATTTGTATTATGTTATCATGGAGATAGTCTGCCTGTGCAGCAGAATTATAGCAGATAAAGTATTTTCCCTTAAGGCAACCCAATCTCATGAGTTAATTAATCTAATAATCTGATGCTTATCTGACAAAATCTATATTCAAAAAGTCTAAAAGAATCAAATTAAATCAAACCTCAGTGATATACTGAAAAATCTAATTAAAAACAGAGCTTTAGAAACTCTACTTAGCATTACAGACATGAACTTAACAATCCTTTTGAAACAAGTTTTCCTACTAGGGGAATTAGATATTTCCAGTGTATAGTTTTCTACATATTTAAAAAGATAAACTGAAAACATTTACAACTCATGCTTCGGTGCCATTCTTCCTTTCAGGATCAACTCCTGAACTTGTCCTTTTCATCTATTTATCTCCATAAGCCTCTATTTTTTTTATGGGTTACATAGATATAGAATAACATAAGTACAAGAATTTCACAGAGATTCTCAAAGATTTAAGTTAAATTAATACAAGCAAAAATCTTGGTGCATTAAGTTGCTCATATACTCATAGATAGTTCTCATTATTAATGAGGTACCCTTCTACTCTAAGCTGTGATCTTGACCCCTCTCCACAATGAAGTAAGAAGCTGCATATGTAATAAGGTGTCTATCCTCATTCCTATGTATTATAATGAGGGCTTCCTCACTCATTAATATTATATTATAATGGAGCTTCTTTCCTTATTACTCTTACGTGGGTCTCTAAAAATTACATTGGATTTTCAGTTAAAATACAATCACTCTCAGAAGAAGAACCATGTTGTATCACCTTTAGAGGGAATGAGTCTGTAAGATTCTTGTCCTAGACTTTTGACAGGAGGGAAAGTACAGACTGAACCTAAAAACCACAAGGAGCAAGAGGAGGATAAAAAACAGTCCCCAAAGGGAGTGAGCAAGACAAAGGATATTCATGAAGTCCGGAACCATGTGTCTGTGCTTTCTGCTCTGCCTCTCCCACACATAACTCATAGCAGACACTCAATGAAAGGACCTGGAGGCTCGAAAGATAAAGAGTGAATTTTCTAACACTGGCCAGAACTAGTCTGGGAATCAGTTCTCAAAACTGTTCTGCTATGACCTCCAATTGTTACACTGTAAAAGTGATCCTGAAGTTGAGTGGGATATTTAGATTAGATAATGAGCAGATGATCAAAAGGACAGGATGGGTAATAAAGGTTGATTATCCCTTATTGGAAATGATTAGTACCAGAAGTGTTCTGGTTCTCAGATTTGTTTTATTTTTTAATATTTTCATATATGTTAATGAGATATTTTGCAGATGGAACTGAATTCTAAAAGTGAAGTTCATTTTTAGATATATCTTATACGTACAGCCTGATAATAATGTTACACAATATCTTAGTGTACATATATATATATATTTTTAATGTACCTATATTTTAACTGTAACTCATCACTTGAAGTCAGGTGTGGAATTCTCCACTTTTGACATCATTCATTGCTCAAAAAGTTCTGATTTTGAGATGTTTCAAATTTCAGATTTTTGGATGAAGAATATTTAATCTGTAAATATAGTGCTAAGGGATCTGAAAGCTTATAGTGACTCATTCTGGTATGGCAGGTGGCTAGTGAATAGTAACACCTCTAATCAACATTTAGAAGACTGAAAGAAAAGTTCTCCTGGCAAAGCTATCACTTGTATATATCCCTTTGCACTTGTATATCATTTGTATATAACCTACCTTCTCCCTCTTACACTCATCAATTCATCACTTAGAGGCAACACAAGAGAAAAAAAGACTCTCTGGTGCTTTTAAAAAAGAAAAAGAGGGCCAGGGATTTAGCTCAGTGGTTCTGCCACCTGCCTCTAAAGCGGAAAGTTCCAAGTTCGATCCTTGGTACCAAAAAAAAAAAAAAGTAAAGAAAAAGAAAATGTAAGGCTCTTATGCATATATTTATTGACTACCTATATTCTTGCTATCTTCAGAACAAGTCGTATGTAATTCTGCATTTCCTGATCTATATACAGTACACAGACAAAGTTGTACTGCATCCTTTTGCAAATTATTTCTCCATTCAAAGCATCACCTAATTTTGTAAAAGGCAAAAGATTTATACAATCAGAAGAGAAACCAGATTATTGTCACCTAATTTTGAAATCCTATTTCATCAGTATGAGACATAAGGTATGGGGCCAACTAGACAGATTTGATCGAAGTACCAAACCCCGGTGATGCTCAATCATGGCTGCCTTTCCAACCCTGGCACACAAGTAACTTAGCATGAATCTATTAAGCATGTGATGAGTTTAGACAACGATAAGAGCCTATGTTTTGCTAACATCTCTCAATAATTGGGAGTTAAATATAATTCCTAAGTTCAACCTCTAGAAGAGGCCTCTTTTGCAAATCAGTAGGCATTGATTTATGGCCATGATTATTTTAAGAATTGGATTCTGAGGCACAGTCCTAATTTTTAAAAACTCTAGCTTTTGGTCAATCACATATTAGCCCATTTGTCCTGTATTTGGGGGTTAAAAATATAAATATTTATGATACTATAGAAAGGTGAAGATTAGTTTAAGGGCTACAGAAGTTAGAAGGAGCCTTTAAAAATTCTATTCGAGTCATGACTAAATGGTACTGCCATCCTCTTCATGAGGCCATGTTTCAAGGGCTCCAAGAACAATTTCAGTTCTTCTTCTAATGGATGGAATGATCTCTACTCCTTATGAGACTCTTAGGCAAGATTTTTATATGACCACTTTACAAAATTTGGTATTTCAGGGCAAACGTTCTTTATACAAAATAGCTACATTTCAATGGATCCCTTGCTATCTGAAAATCTTGTGCCATGAACTACAACAAAATGTGGTGACAAAGATCAAACAGTAAATTTAACTTATAGACTGGGACTGGAAAAAAACTAAGTTATGGGTACCTTTTAAATAACACAAAGCTATCTAATATATATATTTTAAATCTTAATGAGAACTCTGTAAATAGAGAAACTTTCTAGACAACTAAGATGTGTCTGTGAGAAGCAAATGTCATTAATATATAAAGCTTTAAAATGTCACTGTAGATAATTAGTAAAATTCATGAGTGTTACAGTTACTTGAGTTCTTGTGTCTCGACTCAAGTTAAACTTCTTGTAAGTATTGTGATCTTTGCTTTTGGAATAAAATACTCTTTTCACTTAAAATTAATTTAAACTAAAACTAAAAACTTAAACTATTTAGAACTAATACCTATTCACTAAAAAAGAAAATACTACATCTTACCATCTTACCATCTAAGCCTAAAATGTTAATCTATGTATTTCTGATTTTTCCCCTATGCATAGATTTAGTCTTGGAAATTTTTTCTTACACAATTATAATAATAATTGATATAAAGTTTTAATATCTAGATTTTTTTCATTTTACCATACAATCACTAAACATTTAAATTTTGATTTTATGAATTGAGGCTTGACTCTTAGGCTTAAAAGGAACCTGATTTAGATCAACTCCAAGCACTGGAATAAATTCCTTCTGTGCAATCCTCAATAGGTTTTGAGTGAGTGTATGCATTTTTCTATATAAAGCATTGCTCTAGACAAAGGTATGTTATTAGCCCTTCTTTAAAGCTTACATTCTCAAACAAACCATTACCCTCAATTTTGTTTAAGATTAGTTGAACAACATAAAATATAATGTACCTATCACAGTAGAAAAGATGCTTTTCAGAAACAATTCATTTCTCAACAAGAATGCTGTCATCATTTTCATATACATGACTGCATCCTTGCCATAGATTTGATAATGAAAATGTACTTACAAACACAATCACAGTTTATTTTCATAAAACTAACTTTAATCTGTAATGTTTTGATAACTGAAAAGCAGCCTACACAAAATAATTTTTTTTTTTTTGGTACTGGGGATCAACTAAATCCCTGGCCCAAAATAAACTTTTATAATCACCATTCCCCCCAAACTGTTCCCCAAGATATGTGAAACAGTTGAAGTAAATCACTGAAGAAAAAAATGACTTTATGGGTGACTTTATTTTTCATTTAAGGGACGATTGTGAGGAAGAGATGATTGTTCATAAATTTCAAACATAGTAAAAATTAATCATTTCTTTATTATGGCTTGATCCACTATATGCTCACTTCACATAATTTTTCATTTCCCTACTATTTTTATATGAAAAAGTATAAATAGCAGGGAAATAAGAAAAACAAACTATGAATCAAACATATTTTTTCTGATTGAGATGGTAAGAACTTGAGTCTTTATCTCCATTTAATTCTTATCCAAGCAAGAGACTGAAGGTGAACTGTGAGTGCTGTCATTGCTGCAGTCATTTCAAGGACTTGGAAGATCAATGTCAAGAGCTGTGTTCTCTCAGTATCAGTGGGACTCTGTCAAGTTATGTAGCTTTTATTCTGGCAGTCCTACCATTTCATTAATTCAAAATATTATTCCTTACTATAAGCTCCTAACACTGAAAAATATTTTAACTTGTTATTTTGAATGATCACTTCTGAATTCCCAAAAGATAAGACAAAACCATATTTGAGTAGAATAAACAAGAACTGGACTATATTAACTGCTATATAAATTTTTTACTGGTATTTTCTGTTGCTCATGATTTCCTAAAAAAAAAAAAAACAGGGAAAAGGAATTAAAATAGAACAGTAAACATCTGACTGGTTTTGTCTTTGATTCTGTTTGCTCATCAACAGTGATGTAACGCTTGGATAGAATGTCGCCTCTGGTACCATGCTTTAAGTTTCTTGTTTATCTTTGGTGTATACACTTCATTATGCTTCAGGGAATAACTCTAGAATCCAATAAACTGAATGCTTTGCAAAGCTTAAGTAAAATAGTTGAATGCTATATTTAAAGACTTCGTTTTATGATCTAAACAAAAAATAGAGGCATTTTCTTTTAATAAATTATACAGCTTTGACCTTTGCAGTATATGTGACCAAAACCGAAAATGGCAAAAAAAGAAAAAGAAAAAGAAAAAAAGAAAGATCGGAACTGATTAACTTATGTGTTGCTATTTAGAAGTACTGCTAGAGATTATTAATGCACAAACATTTTCAGAGAAGTTGCCTCATTTGCAGGACAATCGCCATCCACTTTTATGCATCATTTTAAGGCTAAGGAAAAAATAAGGGCAGTTTATTTTTTCCAATAAAGCCATGATATTATGTTAGCTAATTATTTTAGGGCCAGGGATTTAGCTCAGTGGCACCACTCCTGCCTCACAACCTCAAGGTCCTGAATTCAATCCCCAGTACCAGAAAAAAAATTAATTATTTTAAATTTAATTCTTTTTATCAAGATTTTAAGGCATTTCATACTGTGTTTTCTTTCTTTTGTAAAAAAAAAAAATGAGTTCCACAAAGCTTGAATAGTTCAGGTCTGTCTGATTCACTTTTTAATTAGCCTGGAAGATATATAATCCACTAAAACTAAATTAGGCAATTAGCCTCTGTCTTCTTTCATATCGAAAATAATTGCAAAGGCTTGAGCCAAGACCATTGATATTACTTAAATTATTTCCATTTCCCTTTCTTCATGCCATAATAATCATAGCTAATCATAATGGTTAATTATAAAACACAGCCAATTCAAGTTCATTATTAGATCAATTAAAACACTCAGATTGTACCACTATGTAAATGCTTGGCTGCATACACTTGTACATGTTCTAGAATTCAAAGCTAGGACATTTTTAAAGCTACATTTGGTTGTGTTGTCATTCTGCAGCAACAGTGCCAACCAGCCAACTCCTTAGCCATGAGCCATTATTATAGACGGAAAGAATCAAATGAACAAGATATCAGTCAATTCAATCACACTGTAGAATCATGGGCTATACTGTACTCAACTCAAACTTTCTTCTCAGCTTCACAAGGTTGTTAACATACACTGTCTCAGGTTGATGGGACAAAAGCTGCTCTTACCACATCACTCATGCTCAGGTACCCAGAGATTTGGGGTAGCTGGAAAAAGACTCAGTAGGCTCGTATTTGCAGCTGCACCCATATACCCTGTCATAACTACTTTAAAGAAAAACAGACTTTGCCATAGGCCAGAATGGTGAAAGAGGAAATATGTGCAAAGACTCCCTGCTCAGCAGAACCAAAACAAAGCATTTTTCAGCTTGGATCATTACAAAAAGTTGCTCATGTTCTCAGACACAAGAAACTCTAAGAAAAACAGATTCTACCTCTAAGAAAAAGAGTTCTTTTCTTTATTATTTCTTCTTCCTCCTCCTGTATTTCCTTCTTCCTCTTTCCCCTTCACCTCCTTCTCCTTCTTCTTTCTCTTCTTCACAATCTCTTCTCTAACAGAAATGCACCATCCCACAACTCACTCATCTGTAACGACAAGGGGAAAAATGATGTCAACACAAATATTGCAGGATTATAATTTTTTAGAAAAAATCATCTCTTCCCGGTAACATCTCAAATAATTATACATATTTGTACTGTCTTAAATCTGTTTGGAACACTGGTGGCACATTTACAAAAATAAATGAAGTTGATGTGAACATGCTCGTATCAAGATGAACTGTGCTGCTTTTGCCAATTAAGTTTGGGAAAAGAAGGAGCTTGTGTGTATTATAGCATTGCCTATTGGTTTTGTGTGTCTATGTGTTGCTTAGAAGACAAAAAAAACTTTAATGGCTATACAAAATTATACATGTATTCAAAACTGAAAAACATTATTTCTACACTTTAAAATAATAATATAGGGTTTCAAATCATTCAGGCATATTTCAAACTCAAGGTTTAAAAGCTGGTGTGTGGTCCTATTCCTAAAGTAAAAATCCTTTTTGAATCACACACATTGCTGGTCTCTGCCTTACTGACTTACTCCTCCTGGAAGCGAGTAAACGTGAAAAGTTCTTTAAACACACATGAAATCACCACAATCAAAAGGAAAAGTGTTTTTACATATGTTATTCTTACTTTCAGAAAGTCTTTCAATTCTTGTTCAAATATTAACATGATAGCCTAATTCAAAATTTTTTTGTACTTTTTTTCTCTCTTCTTTTTTTCTTTTGGTTTTTGAGACAGGATCTTAGTATATAACCCAGGCTGGACTAGAACAGAATCCTCCTGCCTCAGCTTCCTGAGTGCTGGGATTACCATTGTAGCTACTTTTTGAAAATTGAAATTTTACCGACATTATTTAAAATAATTCAGTATAGTTATTTCCAAATATTCATTCTCCCGTTTTAAGAAATAGTAGTAAGTTTCTTAAGATGCTCATTAATAGAAGAGAAAACATATGTAAGTTCTACTTGAGAAGATCTTAAGTATAATAATTTTTTCTAAGCCAAAAATCTCATTTCTGATCCAAATTTTCAATATTCAAGTGAGTCATTAGAATTTCTTCAGAGCAGTAGATGAAGTCAGTAGGGAATAGACAGACAAGAGATACAATTATGAACCATATTGCAATATTTTAGATAAACTCAATTCCTTTGTATCCTAACATTTGGTAGATGAATATCACAAAGAATGCTAGAAATAGTTATCCCTAACTCCTCCCTTAATCTTGCCATTAATCTGGTATTGGGTAAAGATGCCTTTATTAACAATAGCAATGCTGTTAGTTTTGTTCTTTAACGCCGTGTGCACTCTGTGGCTGTGTGTATTTTGTCTGCCATTGTACAGGAATTCAAACCCATTGGTATCGCACACAACAGAAGGGCCCAGCCTTTTGTTGCAGCAGCAAACATTGATGACAAAAGACAGGTAGTGAGCGCTTCCTATAACTCACCAATTGGGCTCTATTCAACTAGCAATATCCAAGATGCACTTCACGGACAGCTGCGGGGTCTCATTCCTAGCTCACCTCAAAAGTAAGTATTGGACTCTTGGCTCTGGCCAGTGTCTTCTTAACGGTGATAGTATGGTTTCGTTTCCTTTCAGAAATCCAGCTCTTGTGGTTTTATTTTTATTTTCCTGGAGGCACTATCAGATTTTTATTTTTAAAGACAAGCATCTAAAATTTGGTTCTAGTTGTTTTGGAGCCTGATTACCCAGTCCCTGAACATTTATTTAAAAAGAGGAAATCACTCTGGTTCCATAACCACCCTTCTTAGTCATGTCAATAGTTGGTGGTAAATAATCCTCTCTGTATAATTATCATTCATTTCACTTTCTTATAAAATATTAATCTTCCACTGAGGGACTTCTTTAACCCTTTGTTTTCGCAGGATGTGAACTACTTTGAACACAAGCACAATATTCGGCCCAAACCTTTCATAATCCCAGGCCGAAGCAGGTCATAAACCCTGAGATTGTGAAGTTTGACATGCATGTTCCTTTAATCAATTCTTACTAATCATCAAGCAAAGTAACTTTTAGTTGTTTGGAGTGAAGTTTTTCATTGTGAGGCTTATTTCAAAAGCAAAAAGAAACAAATGCACTTAGCAGAGAACAGTAGCCAAATCACCTACATTTCTGAGAGTAAATACAGACAGGATTACAGAGCTGTGAAATTTTATGCAGTCACCATGTATATTTATAACTAGCACCATGCTGCTCTGGGGATTCTACGCAGAACACAGTAACCTTTGAATAAGGCAGACATACTCTATTCCAGGTCATGAAAGCCCTTCCAACAGGGACAGAAATGGAAACCAGACTCCATCAGGCACAAGGAAGCCTACCAGGCACTCGTGGGAAAGTGGTGTTTTATATGTTTGACAGACTCTTCTTCCCACTTCACTACCTGCTTCACATCGAACTATCACACCCCATTAATTCTAGCCCTTACATAAAAATAAATTTTCATTTTTATGGATCCTTGCAAAGAAAAAGAGGCCCCTTGAAAAGAAGCTTTTTCACTTGAATAAAAATAAATATAAAATAATAGTTAGGAGGGAGGTAGGTGTGCTGGTTACCCTAATGGACAAAGCTATAAAATTGTAATATTAATGAACGAAGCCTGAATTCTTGTCTATTAATCAGATAAAATGATTATTTCTAGATGATCCTTTTCCTATATCTCTAGAAATCAAATTTCAAAGAAATTACAGTAATTCCCTGCACTGCTACATTGGGAAATAGCAACTTCAGAAAACCTCAAACCCATTGCTCTGACTTCAACTGATTTAGCCTGGAAGAAGGAAGCTGGTGGTTAGGCCAGATTGATCTTACCAGGTTAGGAACAGTGGATAATAAATTATATCCGGGTTCCAAACTGGTAGCCAATGTGGGTAGGCTAATTTTACAAGCATGTTTTAATTCTATAGTTTAAGTTTTTAAAAGTACATGTCTTTAGATGGGGCTTGTCAAAATGGCCATCACCCTGAAGTGTGTGCTGCTGCTCATTTTCACATATGTGACTCTCCCAGCCCCCAGATACCTAAGCTTATGACTGCAGCTGTGGTGGCCAGTCATCACTTGATACATAATTGCCATGTGCAGACTTTTAAGTAAGCTAGAGGTAGACCTAGAAGACTGTCTCAAATTAAGCCAGTTTTTGTGATCTCGGATCCAGAAGGAGCACTGGAATGGAAGAACAGGAGAAAATTGCCAAGAAAGGAATGACAACCAAATACATCTCCCCCCCACACATCCCACCTTAGAATGTAAGCTCAGGGTCTGCAGGATCTTTGTCTGACATTCCACATTCCCCACACCTAGAAATGAGGCTAGGACAGAAGAATAAATACTTAGTCAATGTGCACTGGAACAAAATCCTAAAAATACAAAGTAATATTTCCTCAGTGTATGGTAAGAAGAACTGAGAGTTATTGTCCCTCCCTCCCCATTGCAACTCTGCACCATCCTTTTTATTTCTCTTTGTTCATTCCCTTGCTCCTATTCTATTTTCCTCTTCATCTTTTCCCTGTTTTTCTACTTTGAGATGCTTCTCTGCACTACCCCACCTTCAATAACATAACAATATCATATTAAATGTTAAAAATACTATTTTACTCCTGAGCAAGAAAACCTTCCCAGAGAAACATCATACAATTAATATACTTGCATTCTTTTGAGTTTAGCATGACTGTAAATCCATTCACTTCCACCTGTAAGACTTCAGGATGCTTGAATAAAGTCATACAGTAGAGAAATATTATATCCTGCCTTTGTAAAGGACACATTTAATTTTATAAAAATTCAGAGAAAGAGAGACCTAGGTCTATAATTCCTTCTTTTATATTTTCATTTTAACTTAAAATTGTGATAAGGACAAATCACTCACGTTTGTCATTTAAAGATACCTTTAAGGGGGTATCTTTAAAAAAAAAGCTGAATTTATACGAGGAGAAAGGGAAACATAAATGAGAAGATTTTCCAATGCACTAATCTTAAAGAATTATAAAATGCTTCTCCAATCCTTCCTTTCTTTCTGCTCTGTCATACTATTTGCTCTAGTTTCGGAACTTTTTACTCTCTGAGAATGATTCTTTATCAAGGTAGAATTTTGAGAGGCCACATGCCAAACTACTACAGCATTATTAGTGAACAACTTCTTTAACCAGAAGTAAACTGAAATACCAAATTTGTACTATCTTAATCTCCCTGAGGTTTTACTACTAGCACTGGTTCTCTTAATTATTTCATCATAACTGAAGCATTCTTTTTATGTGTAAACTTATAAAGCTAAAAATATAACTAAAAATATATACAAGGCATTAAAGATCCAAATATTAAAATACAATCTCTATCCAACTTCTTGGACAAGGTACATCTTAGAAGCATGCCCCAAAAAGTCTATACACACCTCCAGAGCAATCTGTTCTCTGTTGAATGATTCCGGACATGAAGTAATTGAGTGCATTATCAAGCTAACAGGTGGTCTGCTAAATTGCTGAGTCACCCTCAGGAAATCTCATTAGTACTAGCTTTCCAGGTCATAAGGAATAGGACATGGGAACTTATGATGATAGCCACTGTGACTGGAGCCCATGAAGACTGTATTATTTAAAATAGATCAAGAGATCATTTTAAATTGTTCCAGAAATTTATAAAATGTCATTCTTCTTGGCTTTAGAGTTTATTTTTCATCCCCTAAACAGACATGAGTCCTTAAACACAATGATAAAGGAACTAGGAAATCGAATACACAGCTCTTGCTTAACTAAAATTATATGCACAGACATGCTGATAGACAAGAATACTAATAACTGAAAAAGATTACTAAGTACAGTCACAAAATAAGGCATTTCTGTAAGTTCCAGACTGACACTAGTATCCAGCACTCTGCCTGAGAGTGAGGTCAGAGTAGTTCTAAGTATTGGTTGGATTTGTTCCTTATATTGAGCCCAAAGTCTCCTAAGATTTAATTCAGTATTTCAAATCCCTAAGCTACAATTTCATAGCCTTCATTACAGTTAGGTCAAATCAATGTTCTCCTGATTAAACTGCATTACAGCTGAAAATTAACTTCTATGCTTTTGCTAAATGAAGTCGATTTCAGCAGCCAAGTTAGTGTTGAGCCTCCAAAAATGGTGAATGAGGTCACTTGACAGTTTGTCATGTGATTTAGCCAGTGTACAGGTTGGGTTTCAAACAGGTTCTCGACAGCTAGTGAGAGAGCAATTCCATTATTCAGGCTGTGTAAGCTAGTTGAAATGGACAGCACAGAGGGTTTTTTTTAATGTTTTACATCTACACTTATAAACAAAAGCTGTATAAACTAATCAGGCTGCAACACTGATAAAATTTTTTTAAATTTTTAAAACCACTTCCCATTATCCTCAGTTTTGCTGTCTGTATGGGACTGAGGTTAACATTAGTAGCCTTAGAGAGTAAATGCAGAATTGGGGTCAAGGTTGAGAGAATATTGACTTTGAGGTGAACAGATCATAAAAATCTACTCTCTGTCTTAAGTTTACGGCAACTCTAACTAGCAGGCATGATAGAGGTTTACTGTAACATTAATATTTCTTTTTGCTTTGTTTTAAATGACTGTGCTTTTAAAAAATCTCTTAGTATATTCCATTTTCTCACAAAATGCATCTCTTGTGCTGCACTTAAAATGCATGTAGCAGCCTTAGGTGTAGCACAGTAATAGAGCAAGTGCATAGCATGCATGAGTTCAATCCTCAGGTTCAATCCTTGGCATAAATAAATAAATGTAAATAAATATGCGCAGTTGTGTCTAGCCTCCTATCCAGTTTCATAATGAATATGAAATCTCTCTAGTTCTTAAATCTGCATGACTGACCTTCTTTATATTTTAATAAGTCCCTACAGCTTGTTTCTTAAAGAAAATGAGAAATATGCATGGAAATATATGTGTGCTTCCAAAATTTTACATGAAATATCTATGTATAAAGGAAATACAGCTTAGCCTGATTGTAGCATCCAAATTATTATCTTCTAATCATTAATTGCAAAGTGACAAGCATTTATTGGCTGTTTCTAGATCCTGTGGTAAGCTACAGAACTGAGTTTTTTAAAATAAAAGAATAACAATAGGAAAACTGAAGCAATCACAATAAAATATTTACAAAATAGCCTTAAAATATAGTCTTTGCTTTATCACCTTCACATTGCCATTCAGTTAAAGCTCAACTGTATTCTGGAAACATACTGCTTAATTTGAAATGTTCCCCTAAACCTTTGATTGAAACTTCATGCTACACATTCACTTAGCATTTGTAAAGAATCATTCATTAATACTTTACTTTTAAATATTGTACTTCCAAAAATGTAAAACGATGTCCAGCCAGTGTAATTTTACCTGTGATACTGTCACAGATGGCCCATTTTTAACAAGTGAGAAATAGCTGTATTTCATCTATGTACTCTATGTACAATTCTTTCTATATGTAACCCTGAACTTACAAATCACCCAGTAGAATAGAGCCAACAAATGCAATAGCACCTGCATCTTTTAATTGTACTAAAATTTCTTCAATCATTAATTTTGAAATATCATCTTTTTAAAAACAAAGTCTAGGCAGTGTTTTAGTTTGATACAATTTACTTCTGACTTTTTGTCTTCCATTCTTTTTAACCTCTCTGTACTTGTTCTCTGTGTCCCTCCGGTTCCTTGTGTCATCTGTGTGTAATGTGGTCATTAACACAGTGGATGCAGCACGCCCTCCGGTATTGATGGTGGCAGTGGACGTAGCACCCCTTCTTCTGTCAGTACTGTTAGTACTATTTGCCCAGGTGACTTGAAAGTTGCTGCTAAGATGGCCCCTAACATTCCTTTGGAAATGGAACTTCCCGGTGTGAAGATTGTACATGCTCAGTTTAATACACCTATGCAGTTGTACTCAGATGACAATATTATGGAAACACTTCAGGGTCAGGTTTCAACAGCTCTAGGGGAAACACCCTCAATGAGGTAATACGAGTCTTTTTGAACCATGGGAATATTAACTAAACACATGGGCAATGTCAACTTTCATGGTGTCTCTTTAACATTGTCTTACTGGAAAGAAAGTTATGTGAAAAGCTTTAAAGAAAAAAGTACTTTAAAGAAAAAGTACTGAGGATTTATTGCAAATATCTAGGCCTGATGATAAAGCTGACTTGAGAAGTTATCTAAGATAATGTGGCAAATAGCAATAAAATGAAATCATACAAGGATGAAATGTGCATGTCTCTTGAAAGCTACATTGTATTTTATAAATGTCTGATTTAGTACTTCTCAAAAGTGATTTATAATCTATTATATCCGATGTCTGTCTTTGGCAGTCAAAAATTAGGAAGGTGGTTGAGAAGGTCAGAGGATTTTTTATAAAATGATAACTCTTCTCTCTTCTAAAGGAAATGTGTAGAAAGGTAATGATTTTTTCATTTAAAATGTTTAGCTTGCATAAAGTTTTATAAATAAATACATCAGGTTTTTAATGTAGATATTTAATTCCCTTTGATCTTCATTTTGACTAATTCTTTTTTATTTTAAATATTTGTTTCAAGAATTTTTGTCACTGAGTTTTTTCAGTTTATTATGGAATAAAATCTTGTTACTTCTTCCAATATTGCAGAATCACTTTTTATAAACTGCTGTGATACCTAAGAATACTATGTAAAAATATCATAAAAATATTCCTGGATGAATACATTGAGTTAATAATATATCTGGGTCATTTTTCAAAAAATTTCATATAAACAAAATAGTTTTTTAAAGTATAATATAGATAATTTTAAAATATGCAGATAACTATTGTTTCTAAACAATGCAGTTTAATGGCATAAAGTAATAAAGTACTTAGTGCCTGAGAAGTAGTATTATGGTAGCATTTTTATTCGTTATGAATATATTTATGGGAAACATATTAAGTAAAGTTGCTATCATTACTATTAATGAATTTTAATGTGGCTATTTTAGAAATATAGGATAATCAATCTAATATATATACAGAATCCACCCAAAAAATGTATACACACTTCAGCCGTTCATCATAACTGTTTTGGGGTTTTTTTGGTTTTTGCTTTTTTTGGTACTGGGGATCGTACTCAGGTCCTTGTGCTTGCAAGGCAGGCGTCAGAACCACTGAGCTAAATCCCGGCCCATCCTAACTGTTAAATGTCTGGAAGCTAATGGCCACCACTCTGACCACCTCTTGTAACTGTAGAGGCCAAAGGTAACTTGTATTAATCTCATGATATCTTGATAAATTTAGTATTAATATATTTATACAAGTTTTTCTTTTCTTGAAGTATACATTATTTGGAGGACTCTGTAGATGAAAGTTTCCACATGTTTTCAAACACTGAGAAATTGAATTTTATCAATTTATAAGTTAAATGATATCTTTGTTATTTCCAGGACTTAACAAAACAAATTAACCTTAAAAACAAAATTAAGCAATTTATTCTTAGTTTAATATCAAAAGTGAATCTAAATGCTATTAAAATTTTCATGCCTGCTAATACTCAAACTGGGTTAACTCCTGCATCATCATGTGTATGTTGTCTTTTCTGAGAACAGTTAACTTTGGTCACAAATTTTTGTGTCACAAGTCTTGTTGGCTTTTTTTTTAATTACCATTTCCCAACAATCACTTTTCAGTTTTCCTCCAAAGTATTTTGTCCCAAATGGATAGTGTTGATGTGATTCCTAGGTTGAATGCTCAATGACATTTTTAAGGCATCCTATGTGAATTCACATTATATTTTAATTATAATATTCACTTGAAAGTAAATCCCTCTTCAGCATTGCTGTAATATAGTGATGACTGCTTATTGGTGTCTGCTGCCTCTCAGTTCCCCTGATGATGCTTCACCTGCCATCCTTGTATTTCAGTGAGCCCATGGCCTCAGTACCACCCCAGTCAGATGTGTACCGGATGCTCCATGACAATCGCGATGAACCTGCTCAGCCTCGCCAGTCAGGCTCTTTCAGGGTGCTCCAGGAGCTAGTGAACGATGGTGAGCACTCATTTGCATCTGCTGCACGTTTTTGAAAGAGGCCATTGGAAGGATGGAGGAAGGGGAGTGCCACAAACATGGTGGGGATCAAAGTCTAAATATCGTTTTTAATCAGTAATCAAGGATTACTTGAGCAGGCAAAGAGCCTTCAACACATGTTCAAGTAGTCAAAAAATGCAAACAGTCATTAAAAGGCAACCAAGACAAATCCATCCATAATAGTTAAAGGTACCTCTTCTCATGAATCATAAGATCCGATCTTAAACACATACACTCTCTCAGTCTCCTACACTTTAGGGTATCACCAACATCAAAGTTAAAAAAAAAAACTTTTTAAAGAAGACCAAAATGAACCCAACTGTGTGCTGAATTCTGTGCAAAGTACTTTATGTGCCTTATCATTTAATTTTCACAGTAACACAACAAAGTGAGAGCTATTAATCATCCCACTTAACACATGAGAAACTGATGTTCGGGGAAAATGGGCTTCTACAAGCCACGTAGACCCTAAGTAGCAGAGCTGGGCCTCTGGCCCTTTCCTGCTGTTTTTTTTGGCTTAAACACTTACTCATACTTTTCCACCCCTAAAGATATAAATCGCCCCTTAAAAATAACAGAAAAATGCAAAATGTCCCATAAGAATGGATACTAACAACAACAAAAAGTGGAAACAAGTATGGATGAGGATGTGGAGAGTAATGGGAACTTTTGTGCATTGCTGATGGAAATGTAAAATGAATGGTACAGCCACTGTGCAGAACAAAATGCTAGTTCTTCAAACAATTACACATAGAATTAACATATAAACTAGCAATTACACTCCTAAGATTATGCCCAAAAGGGCCGGGGATTTAGCTCAGTGGTTCCGTCGCTTGCCTTGCAAGCTCAAGGACCCGAGTTCGATCCCCGGTACCAAAAAAAAAAAAAAAGATTATACCCAAAAGCAGGAACTCAAACAGATACCTGCACACCAATGTTCACATTATTCACAAGAGTCAAAAGGTGGGAAAAAGTTAAATATCTGTTGACAAAATGTGATATATGTGACTAAAAGGAATGAAATTCTAATACATGCTGTACCCCAGATGTACCTTGAAAACATTATACTACATAAAAGAAATCAGACAAAACAGGACAAATATTGTTTGGTTTACGTATATGAGAAATCTAGAATGGACAAATTCATAGTGACAGAAAGTAAAACAGAAGTTACCAGAGACAGTGAGGAGGTAGGAATGGAGAGTTGTTAATCGGTACAGAGTTTCTGTCTGGGGAGGATGAGACTGTTCTGAAGTAGATATTGATAGTGGTTGCATAATAATGTGAATGTACTTAGTGCCAGGGAATTGCACACTTAAAAGTAGTGAAAATGGTAAAGCTTAGCCAGTGTGGTGGCACACACACCTGTGACCCCAGCTATACAGAAGTTGAAGCAGGAGGATCAAAAGTTTGAAGCCAACCTGGGCAACACAGCAAGACCCTGTCTCAAAATAAAATTTTAAAAAGAGGTGCTGGGGATGCAGCTCAATAATAGAGCACTTGCCTCACATGTACAAGGCCCTGGGTTCAATTCCCAGTTCCACCAAAAAGAAAAAAATGGAAAGCCTTATGTTACTATATTTTCCACAATAAAAATAAAAATGAAAGATACCCTCTGCTGCTTTGAGCATTTTATTACAGTTTCCTGCAATAGTAACAAAATATTTTATTCAGATCCATTTTGAAAGCCACTACTTCAGAATCAAGTCTCCACTGCTTCAGTTGGTCCTGCACTTTTGGAAATAACAGTGCAAACGCAACTTCAGAATTCCTTAGGCTAAAGTCCACACTTGAAAATAGAAACAATGCAGACAGGAGCCAGCTGTGCCCTCACCATAAATGGAAACTCTCTGTTTTTCAGATGACCGCCCTGCTGGGACTCGCAGTGTGAGGGCACCAGTTACTAAAGTCCATGGCGGAGCTGGAGGCGCTCAGAGGATGCCACTCTGTGACAAGTGTGGAAATGGCATCGTGTATGTCTCATTTTTAAGTCACTATAAGGCCTGGAGGGAGTTTTCCATTTCTTCCACTTTAAGATTTATATAGAAAAGGCAATTATAAAAAACTTAAATTTCTATTCATCAACTCGAAACAGAATGTTCACAACATTTAGCACATTTTGACCAACATTCCCTAGCTGTAAACCCACACTGGCACACAGTATGAATCAGCAATCTTGACTTTATTTCCAGATGTACTCTTGGGGTGAAGGGGCACTTGCCCCAGATTGTATTTAAAAATTTCCAGGAATCATGATTTCACTTTAAACCCCCACCAAAGTCCTCTCTTTGTTAATGTACAATTTCAAATACTTCCTTTTCTATATAAACCCAGGGAAACAAATAACAAGGGTCCTCAAATTATTAATAACAACACATTATTTTTACCCAATTTCTTAAATCACACAAATGTTAAAATAATTTCTAAAAGTACAGTCCACTTTCATTTCAATGGATTTCCTGTTTAGCCTCACTTGGTAGTTCTAACCTTCAAAGGGACCAGATAATTTTAATCTCTGCTCAGCGTGTGCCCCATGTGGCCACTTCTCCACCCCTTTCTTCTGTTCCTCTACCTTCAGCTCAGGCACTGATGCAACATCTGCCCAGTTATCCAGGGCACAGCCCACAAGGGTAGTGGAGGATGAACCTGAGGAGAACCAAGGGCAAAATGTGGGCTAGAAAGCAAAAAGCAGGACAGAGAGCTGGGAAGTAGAAAAGACCTCAAAAAATACAACAGTTCATGATGTCTCTAAAACCAATTATTATTCCAAAGTTGGAGTAAACTCTTTCCCAGTTCCTGGAAATTCTTTCTCTGCTCCATAGAACAGAGGCTGGACCACCAAGAGAGAAACCCACAGAGGGGCCTTGGATTGTGTGAGCCGCACAAAGATCAAAGTCAGAATCCTTTTCTAACCTATATCACGTCTCCCTCTCTCAAAGAAACAGCGGGCAAAGGATCCTACTCTTTTTATATAAACCACTTGTTTGAGAATCTGAAAAACAGTCATACCTCAACATCAGAGAAACATGGGGCGGTTTCTTTGGTTGACTTCCATCCCCCACACAATTGCACAGCAGTGAGGAGTTTTACAGCTGGTACCTGTTTATTCCCGACTGCGAAACGACTGACTTGGGTGTGTGGTTCTTTCATGTTGTGTCATATTTGTTGCTCTGTGTTTCTCACTTGAGCTTATTTTTCCCGACAGTGGCGCCGTTGTGAAGGCACGAGATAAGTACCGGCATCCCGAGTGCTTCGTGTGTGCTGACTGTAACCTCAACCTCAAGCAAAAGGGCTACTTCTTCGTGGAGGGGGAGCTGTACTGTGAAGCTCATGCGAGAGCCCGCACGAGGCCCCCAGAGGGCTATGACACAGTCACCCTGTATCCCAAAGCTTAGGTCCTTTGCAGGAGGGGGCACGCACGCACGCACGCACGCACGCACATTTACACTAGAGAGATTAAAAGGCTTGGGGCCGAAAGATGGCGAAATGAGGGCTCCAACTCTACAGCCACGGCTTTTAGACATTCATTTATCATATCGTGTTTTGAGGAAAAGAAATGGGTGGCAAATGTCTGCTCTATGACAAAAACATGTGTTTAGCTATGTTTTGCAATTCTTTTTATCTTTGGTGATAGCAGTAATGACATTAAAAACAATAATTTTTGTATGTCATATGCCACAGTTGACATTTCTAATATGACCATCCAAAGTGCAAATATTAAGATATTAGGGGAAGTCTATTGTCTTTCCTTGTTAAATTGATTTTTACAATTGTAGAAAAACTGTACCAAATACCAGTCGCGTAATCTAACATACTCTGCAGTTGTCTGCATCTGTTTTAACTATTATAGTGCATGTCAGGGAGAAATTCTCAGGATTTCTCTAGGCTCTTCAAGCAACTGTATGCAAAAAAATAAATACATAAAACATTTTAAAAATATCTAATGAAGTGGCAATCAATGAATTCAGTCAAAATCAACATTTCAATGACAGGGCTCAATCATATCTCTGCATGTACACTGCCAACTCAGATATTTTAAGAAATATGTCTTCTTTAGTTTGTCTGTGGTGCTGGGATTTGAACTTAAAGCCTTCACACTGAGCTCCAACCCCAGCTCTTTTTTTTTTGAGACAAGATTTCCCTGGCTGGGCTGAGCTTGAATTTGAAAACTTCCTGCTTCAGCCTTCCAAAGTGCTAACATTGCAGGGGAGTGCCACCATCCCCAGCTTCTTTAGTTTTTATAAGACACTATTTCTTATGAGTCCAAAATTTTTGCTACTAGGAGGAGAATTTTAATTTGCTAATTAATGGCAATTCACTCTTTCCAACTAAAATTTTGAGTTGGTTTGACATACTCTTTTCCCATTGAAATGCCTCTTTCAGGTAAACATTCAGCAAAATAGAATGCTCAAAGTTTATCAGGCTATCTCTCCATGCTCAATGATTTACTAGTGCGGCCTCCTTCCACTTAGGGACCTTCTAAGGAAACAGGAGCTGCTGGTTTTCTAGGGTCCTGCTTATATCCATTGCTGAAATCCACAATTCTACTTGTGGTCTGTTTTCTTGGCATAGTTTGAACCAAGTAATAACGTCCCCTTCACCACCCCAAAACTCTTAGCCCTCCAAGCGGTGATGACTCCTCTGCATCCCATGGGTGCGCTCCCTCCGACCTCTGGTACAGACATTCTGCCAGGCAGCTCTGCTTGGAGTTACCTTGCTTCTCACCAAAGGTGGCCCCATAAAAGTGTCCTTGACTTACATCTCTCTCCTACTTTCCATGTTCCTCGCCAAGGTCACCTGAGAACTTTTAAAACTGTCCCTTCAAAGTTCAAATCCAGGGAACCAGCAGGATGTGGAGCTCTCTCTCTTCACCACCTTGTCACACAGGCATCCCCGCCCTGCTACATCTGCTGCCTTTTGGCTTGAGCAAGAGTCCCCCTCCCACTGGATGCCAGCTTCATTGCTAGGGATTCTTCCAAACTTAGCTAATTATTTCTGACCCCAACTTCCCAGAGTTTTGATCCAGCAAGAGGAGCCAGAACACTTACCTGGCCCATGTAAGCATTCAAGATTGCAACCCTGCACCAAAACATAAATTTATTAGAAGAGGTATTAAAAAATAAAATAAGAAACCATTGAGATCAAAGATATGAATGTATCCAAAATGCAATGCATTTTTATTCAACGGTTATTTTTTACATTTTTGTTCTAGGAAACTTAACAATTTGGAAACTAGAACTCAAATGAATGGTAACCGACTTAGAAAAGCTAAGAAAGTAAAACCCAAAGTAGCAAAAGAGAAAACTGAAAAGCGCCCCAATTTACTCTGCAGAATATTTTTAAATTATGAGAATTAAAAGCACTAGGCACTGCTCTGATAGACTGAGAGGAAGCTATTTAAAAAGCACTTAGACCCTAAAGGCTTCCCTTGCTCCTGCTGCACACCACACACTCCCCTACATTTCCCAGTGAGTTTGTGTTATCTGGAAAGGGGGAAATAGCATCCTTAAACTAGAAGATGGAAGCATAGTGACCAACATGTGTGCTGTCTGAAAAAGAATAAATTAAGAGTAAATGACTCAAGAAAAGTATATATTACACATTATATTGTACACAAATATACAATGTGCATTAGGCATTAGATGGTATTTTTCTTAAAATTATATTTCACGTGTACCAGAGTACATAATTAACTCTTCAAGCCCATGTTTAAAAAGGACTTTTTTATAGTAAAAAATGAAATAGTTCTAGTCTCAAATTTAGATATCTTAGGCTATGTGACTAGGGCTTGTGAAGCATGCCCCTTTTTTGACAATTCAATATAGAAATTTAAACATGTAGGAGAATTAACTACGGGGTTAGTAAATAGAAATGAATGCTATATAAAAGTTGTTTTAAGATGAAAATAGCAGTATTGTTGTTGGTTTGTTTTGTTTTGTTTTGGTACCAGGGATTGAATGCGGGACCTTGTGCTTTCGAGGCAGGTGGCCGCACCACTGAGCCAAATGCCTGACAAAAACATAGCAGTATTGAAATAGAAAGGAGTTAAACTTTTTTTAAAAAGTAATTATTTCCCCTTATACAGCATTTTATGCTTCAATAATGAATTCACATCAGGAATTGAAATTCTAGGAGAGAATTCATGCCATGAAGAAAGAATGCCAACTAGTTTTGATCTACCTCAGAGAATAACATTTTCTTAGCAGTCTTAGTCACTGTATTCACATTTATAAGCTTTTGAAAGCTAACAATAATCAATAAAACTAACCAAGATTAAGAACTGAGCTTCTGTGAACTTTGTATCCATGATTAACTAAGCTGTTTATTCATGTAAACATGTGAAGAAAGTTGCTACACTCTACCATGAGGGCGATTGATTGAATGAGAAGAACTCTGGTTATCACATATTTTTGCACCTGTGTAAGCAGAGTCAAAAAAAGCTTACTCAACCCTACATAAGATAAACTTTCCCAATTTCCTGACATGGGAACATTCCAAGATAAGCAGAACAGAGCTTTGGGTCTCTCTATCAATAGCTTTTTAAAAACATTTGTCAAATTGTCTTTGAACAGATCTGATTTCAATCCTAGGAAAAACTGCAACTTGCGAATATTACTCTTTATTATCATGTTATAACCTAATGCTTTTTTAATTTATGCTGTGTCATCTGTACCTCAAGTATAACAAAGAACACTGAAAGAAGAATGAGGGCATTCATATAATTCAAGTAAATGAGCTGTTTGCCTGACCTATATGACTTTGCCACAATCGGTCTTCATTCATTGGAGAGAGCATTTAATATTGATTGAGCACCCACCAGTTAGAAATGTTGAAGAATATATATATATATATATAATAAAATACTCTTAAGAGTCTTTCAAAAATATATATATAGCAAAAGTCTTTTGTCTGTTTTTACAAATTAATTTTTTTTTTTTTTGGAACTGGGAATCAAACTCAGGTCCTTGTGTTTGCGTGGCAGGTAGCGAAACCACTGAGCTAAATCCCCGGCCTCCAAATTAACTTTTTAAAGCTGGCTAGAATGCTTCATGTAATTGATTTGAAAACAAAGTACCTATAAGATTTGATCACTTTATTACAATTTCTTTCAGACATTTTAGGAATATCAGTAATTTAATTGCTTGACCATAAAACACAAAGTCAGATATTAATATTAGTTTTTAAACACCTGAGAATTTTGTGCATGTATATAGAGAATGTCCCCAGACATAGTTTCTTTCTTCTAGGAACAAGGCATTTATGAAAAACCACAGCACAATTCCATGCCTATTATTTAAAGAGTAGTACAATTTTAATGCCTAATTTCTATCTACATCATAAGTATTTTGTATAAATAGATTCTAAATTAGGATTACATAGAAAACAAAATGGTCATTTGAGGATGAAAGTTATTCCATTTGTTTATTTTTTTTTATTCATCTGGTGAGGAAGTAAACACAGTTTGTCTACTTCTGCACCAATAGCAAAGTTATATTTTAAGTTTAAAAATTACCTCAAATTGCTACTCTACCTTGTATTGTGAAGTATACAAGTTAGAGAGCACAAGTGTGTGTATTTGTCTATTATATGTATTTATGCCCAGGTGGACACATACCTGTGTTTCTTTAAAGCACATGGGACACACAGCCAACATCACATGCACAATTAATTACACTACTCCTTCAGTGTTGCAGTCAACCTCTTCTTGGGTCTTGGACTTCAGTTGCTGCCAAGTTCCCAAAGCTCCCAAACATCACCCTTGTAGAATACTGCTTCATGCTGCAAACCTTCCATTCTTCCCTGTCCCAATTTCTTGTCCTTGATCCCAATTTATCTGATTAATGCTTGCTTTGTCGGTTAATCTAACAGATAATTCATGCTAGCAAGTACTAATAATTTTCTACTGCTCTCATTTATGTAAGGTATTTGTATTTTGTTCTAAGGACAGTCCTGAGAAGAATGTCTTCAGTTGTATGCATTTTAGTTACATTGGTTGAGGGGAAATACGTCAGTGGTAGACCCAGAGATGCTCCTAGATGACCCCATGTTGTGAATAGAACAAAGCTGATCACAGGTTCAATATCCTATTCAGCTGCTTGATTTTACTCTATTTAACTTTCACAGATTACATGGGAAATTGAGATTCTCTTCTAAATATTGAAGTCATTTAGACACATGGAATACCAAGATTTGTATAGATCTATATAAATCATAGATCTGTTTAAATCTATAGAACTGCAAGTGTCTATGCTCATGATGGATTGATAATAACAGGATGTTATAATACTGACTCCAATACATATATTTATGGCTACCACAGCTGTCAAGAAGTGGCGCTTTGGGAACTCAAAGCAGCAAATGGAGCCTTAGGCACCATCTTGAAAGTGTATTGTCGTGGATCAGACCTGAAGATTCATTCATTATTATCTAGTTAGAATGAGTTTGCAAAATTATTTGATTAAAACACAGTTCAATTCATTTTTTAAAAAAACAATTTTTTTGTTTGCTTTGCGGTGCTGGGAATTAAACTCAGGAAGTAGTAAGATGTATCCCCAGCCCTTTTTTATTTTTATTTTTTTTATTTTGAGACAGGGTGTCATTCGGTTGCTCAGGCTGGGCTTCAACTTGCATTCCTCCTGACTCAGCCTCCCTAGTAGCTGATATTGCAGGTGTGTGCCATCAAGCCTGAACTCCTTTTAAAAATTCTTTTATTGAAGCGTAAGAAAAATGCACACACTATGAGTGTAAAAACACAGTGAATTTATGCACAAAGTGAATAAAGCCTTATTGCCACCCATTGTTAAAGAGACAGAACACAGCTAGCTCTGTAAGCACCCCATCTTCTGTTTTCCACTATACTAACTTCTAAGACCATAGATCAGTTTTGCTAGATTCTGAACTTTATATAAATAAAATCATATACCAAAGACTCTTCTTTAACTGGTTTCTGGCGCACACATTTACCCTTTTCATCACTCTTCATTCCCTTCTGCATTTTCATGTGTGCATCTTCCCGAAGAACTCCCTTTAGTTATTCTTCAAGGAAGATCTGCAAGAGAAGAAATTTGCTCCAGTGTAGTTTTTCTGAAACTATTTCAATGTCATTTGTAAAACCTATTTCAAATCAGCAAAGAATTCTATTTTCTTGCCCTTTTATGTTTAGTGTTCTTTTTTTTTTTTTTTTTTTTTGGTACCAAGGATCGAACTCGGGTCCTTCCACTTGCAGGAGGCAAAACCACTGAGCTAAATCCCTGGCCCTATGTTTAGTGTTCTTTCATTGTGGTAAGATGTATGACATAAAATTTACCATTTTAAAATATACAGTGCCGTGGGATTGAATACATTCGTAATGTTGTACAACAATCATAAATACCTATTTCCAGAACACTTTTATCTTCCCCAAACAAAAACTCTAGGCCTGCTAAATAATAATAATTCTCTCATTCCCCCCTAATTCCTGGTAACCTCCATTGTATGACTCTGAATATGCCTATTCCAGATATGTGTCCTTTTGTGTGTCTTTATTTCTTTCACTTGGCTTACTATTTTCATGATTCATTCATGTTTCAGCAAGTAACAGAATTTCATTCCATTTTAAAGCTGAGAAATATTCCATTATGTGGATACACCATATTTTGTTTACCCAGTCATCTTTCAATGGATCTACAGGTTGTTCCCACTTTTTGGCTAGTGTAAAAAATTCTGCCATAAACATTGGTGTGCACATGGTGGTCATCTTATTTTAGCATTTTTGCTTTCAAAGATTATAATACTGATGGTTACTAAAGTATCACTAATAATTGTAAAGAAATGTAAAGGTGAAGAATGCCAATAACAACTACCATAGGTTATATCCTTGTAGTTACAACTTATTGGCTGTATATATTTTAATGAAGTATACATAGTATTAATTTAATGCTAACATAAATCCTGACATCATATATTAATAATATTCATACCTTACTTCTAATCCTTACAACATCCTTGCCAAATAAATATTTTACAAATGAGAAAAAGTCTCAGAGAGCTTAATTTTTGTACAGGACCAAACAACTAGAGGAAAATATGGCAGTTAATCTCATTAATATTCCCTAGTAATAAGTAATATAGTATGGAAATGTTTAAACCTATAAATTGTAAACATCATTACAATTTTTCCTCTCTATTATGTTGTTTTATATTAATGTAAAATAAAAATGATTTCTTCCATGAGTGCTAGCAAAAGTCAAATAATATCCAGTACTTGCCCTGCAAGCTCAAGGTCCCAAGTTTGATCCCTAGTGCCAAAAAAAATCAAATAATAATAATGTTAAGCAGTGATGTTTTTAAATAATGATGTCATTATGACTGTTGTGGAAAGAGGTCTGGATAGGACTTGGATCCTAATGGCAGCCATGCCACTCATTCTCATCTGCAGAATGAGAGAGACAGGCTGGGTGATTTCTAAGACCTCTACAGCTCAAACATTCGGTGATTTGGACTTGGCATTGTCTAAGCCGTGTTAACTTGGCTGGCCGTTCCATTTCGTGAGGGTGTGCAGTCAGGGTGGCCAAGTTTTTGGTCCAGTTTAGAACCTTCTGTTCCATAATCACAAGTGCCACCTTTGACTCATTCTATGGCTCATAACAGAAGTCAAACAAGGAACATGCATTTGTTATTTAAAATGCATTAGCGCCATTGACAGTACACATTACGATATCTTTATATTAGCCAGGCAAACATGTCATTATTGTTAATGTGTAGCAAAGTGACCTGAGGCAGGGCAGTTCCATATGTATATAAACACCAGAAAAAAAGTTTGGCATGAGAGACAAGGGGACTCAGGTACTGTGAGTTGAATTGAAGACTTCAGCCTAGAAGAGCTACAGAGTCTGCTGCTTCTTAATGTATTCAAGGTGATAGACACCTACTAACCCTGAGGAAACTTCACAGATAGAAAGAACACTATTCTAACCTAAGCCTTTGTTCAGGGAAAGTATGTTGACTCTTGCTTCTGCCTCTGTCACTGCTACCAAATGACCAAAACTTCACATTTGTAAGATACTGCTGCTCTTCTGTCTTCTTGGTCTAAATCATACTTAATATTCTATTCTTCAACTTCTCCTTGTAACCCCTTTTTTCCACTCAGTCTCTTTGTCCATAACTTTTACTCCATTGTCAAACATGCTCAAGTTCTATACTCATCCTAAAAAATATCCCTTTCCCTAACACCTGTTCCTTCTCTCTCTACCTTGATATTTCTCTATGTCTACCCCTTTAGCATATCAAACTTCATAAAGTGGGACCAATTCCCTGCTCTCAGGATGCCCAACTTACCTTTAAATAAATTCTTCTAAAAGCAGCCATAGATTTCTTAAGAGCAAAAGCTGGAGTGAACCCTTATGGGCTTCATTGTCTTACATGGATGGAATCTGGTTACAATTGACACTACAGGTAATTTAAGGAGGACGAGATGTAGGGTGTTTGCATTTGGGTCAAGCTTTTGAGCTGTGGAAGGAAGGCCCCTAGCCCACCCAAGACTTCCCAAGTCGTTAGCATCATGGTCCCCTGGGATCAAAACATGGGCCTTAGAATAATTCCCCAAATGTACTATACCCTAAGGGTGATTTAGTCACTTTTCACACCTCTATAGATTTCATCTGTGACTAATGTTAACCTTTGATGTCAGGTTTAAAAAAAGATCTTATGAAGCTGAAAGCCCAGACGCATTTTAGTCTGGGTTTGCTAAGAATAGATTTGACTGCTTATTTTTGCTCAATGCTCTTGAATTTGTTCCAGATTCTCAGAGTTGCAGCTGTTAGTCAACAGGTGAAAGTGGATTATTTATCAGGAGAAACTGAAGATTTTGAAATATTGTGACTCACAGATTTTTTTTTTACTCGGTAGTCCAGATTTTAATTCCATCGTTAGCAGTGAACTTCATAATTAAAAATGTCAGACTTTTTTTCAGGACAGTGAGTGAACTGATCTATATATGTGACTAGAAAAAGCATATCCCCTATCAAAATATGCTCTACTGTCCTTATTATGTGAGGTGGAATGAAATAGGAGCAGTCTCACCACAAAGAGAAGGTAGTATAGGTGAAATGTATCAGGAAATAAGAATTACTACCTCTAACATCAAATATATTTGTACCTCTTTTATATGTTTGCAAAATTCAGATGAAATACTAACCTACTTCATACAACTAATCTGTTAAGGGAAAAAGATTTTGATAAGTTGATTTGGGCAAAACCAAACTTTCAGAATCAGGAAGTCTAGTACTGGTCAGTTTAAAAGAGTTTTGAAAAGTGTCTTAATCTTTCTTTGTTTCAATATTCCCCTGTGGAATCTGGAAAACAACTTTTTCAGAAAATCCCACAATTCTCAACACCATGAAGTATAAGAAAGAATATTTACCCCCCCAAAAAATAAGAATTGGGGAAATATTTACATTACAAAGGCGCAAATTTAACACCTGTGCTTTGATTCTAAATCTTCTTTACCTATTTCAAATGGAATACAAAGCATTCAATGTCACCAAAACACAAACGGTGGCAGGTGGACCTCAGCATCATTGACCCTTCGTTGCCTATATATTGGAACCTAAGTGCTGAGAAGAAACTGAGCATTGACAGCATTCACACAGGCTAGAAGAATCTAAAAGGGCCAGATTTCTCCTGGTCATACCCTGGCTAGTGGAGCTTTCTTTACTTTCAAAGTCTAAAGAGGGTCTTACTGTACTATTAATTCTCTTTTACATTAGCTTATTCTAATCTGTGTTCTGGATAAGCAAATAATCCCTTTAACTGATGTTTGCAATTTGGCCATGAGTAACTTTAGGATCAAGATGATATATTTGAGGGTAGGCCTAGCAAAAACATATTTTTTAAATTTTTAAAATATAGCTGGTGTGAGAGATTATGGTCTCTACAATCAGTGGTGGGTCAATTAGATATACTTATTTTTTTTCAGGCATATTTTTTAAATGGGTATTGACCCCTATGTGATATTTTATGTAAAAATCCATTTCAGAAGAATAACAGCTTTAAATGTGAAAAGTAAAACCACAAAGCTTCTAGAAAAAAATATGGAAGAATCATTTCATGACTTTGCCAGAAGGAAAATATGGGCATCTGATCCCAAGGAAGAAAAAGAGACCATCCACATGAGCGGAACACTGGCCTCAGTAGTGAAAGCCTATGTAGGGAGCAGGAACCCTTGAATGGGTCTGGCCAGTGTTTGATGTCACAGCCCAAGGATGATGGGAAGAATTCTTCACAGAGAGAAGGCCTAGCCCAGGGCCACAGAGGCCAAGCAGTGTTTGCCCAAATAAGGAAATTTAATGGATAATGGAAATCACGTTTCTCGCTGTTATAAAGGAAATTATAAACATGGAAAGGGAAAACTAGGAAGAATATTGTAATGTTGATTTGGATTTAGAAATATCATGAATTAATAGTTCTAATTATAGATAGATATAGAAATAAATGTTGATGTATATGTGTGTATGTTTGTGTGCAAATGTATGTATATGTGTACTTACAAACACACACACACACCCCTAGCTCCATTCACTAAGATGGCCTGCAGTTACATTCCAATTGCAACATATACCCACATCTTGGGTTCTAAATACCATTCTTTTCTTAGGATACTGAGGCTCCTTGGAGAAATGGTTGATCACAGGGCTAGGGCAAGGAAAATGTAAGAGGAGCCCGGAATATGGATTTGTGTCAAGGAAATGAAGAAATGCTTCAGTAATGAAGAAGACATGTCAAAAGTACATAGAAGTCAGCTAGAGAAACTGTCATTGACCAAAGTAAGAAAATTTGAGCAATGATATAAATAATGTTTGCAACAGAAGATAATCTGTTGAAACCTATTTGAATGACACAGAAAACTCTGATCCACATGGTTATTATAAATAAATGAACAAATTGATAGTTGGTAAGGAATAAAATATTTACATAGTTCAAAGTATTTCCTCACAAAATGATTATTCATTGCAAAAGAAGAAAATGTTAACTTCACAGTGGAAATGCCTGTAAGATGCCAATTTAGTCAAGTCCTCAAGCGAATATAGTCATTAATGACACAAATCATAATCCTGTGCCACTAATAGCATGCATCCCCTCTGAGGGTCTTGACAAAGATGCATGACCTGAGTCTAATTTTTAAAAATTGACAAAAGCCACAAGAAGGAACATTTTACAAAATAACTGGTTTAGAATCTTCCAAAGTGTCAAAGTCATGGAAGTGAAAAAAAAGCAAGAAATTCTTCAGACTGAAATAAATTGAAACAGACTTGTCCTGACAGCTAAATGCAACATACTTTGCTATTCAGGACATTATTGGTAGAAGTGGTGAAACCTGAATGGGGTCTAAGCATTAGTGAATCTCTGGATTTTGGTGGCTATATTGTGCTCATGTTGGAGAATATTCCTCAAGCTACACATCAAAATATGCAGGAGACATGGGATGTCATGTCAGCAGCTCGTCCTTAGTAGTTCAGGGGAAAAGAAACTATATACTATTTTTCCTACTTTCTTATGAGTTAAGGATCATTTCAAGATTTAAAAAAATAAAAATGGAGACCAAAAGGCAAATATACTGGAAGAACTGAATCAGTTCTCAAGCTTATTTATATGATTGAATTACACATCTAAGAAAATATTAACTAAAAGAATATACTGTAGAAAACATAAATTACATCATTTATAAAAATCTTTAAAATGGACAAGAACGATCTTCTATATTATCCATGAATTCACATATAATAACTATAAAAACACACGAATGGACTGGAAAGTTGAACACTAAATTTGTGAAATGATTTCTTGTGGGAAGAAACTGAGGAAAGAAAAGCCGAAAAAGAAATGGTAGAGAGCCCAACTCAACGTAATGCTTTATTTTTTTCCTAAATAAATAAAAATCAAGTGTGCTAATAATCACTGTTAATTCTGGAAGATGGAAACAAGAAGTTAAGTCATTTTTTGTACTTTTTATTGTTTTTAAATTTCTCCAAAAATCTTTGATAAATAAAACACAGTGAGGACTTTATATTATATAAACCATCTATGTGTACATTTTCTGAGAAGCTTGTACAATTTTTCTGCTTTTAGAAGTTTGGCAAGTTCATTAACAAAGTTGATACACAAATTAGACAATATATTGTCCTGCCATCTCTTTATACCTTTTTGTCTGATATTTGAGTGTGAATAGTTGAATTTTTTTTTAAGTAAGGAAGAACCACAGGAAAAAAATTCCACACTGTTTATGGAATCTCACTGGGATATCTGAGGCTCCTGTTCATGACAGGCCTTTTGCATAACTCCTACGCCTTCTGAAGAAGGGCCCTTCACATGGCTTTCACCCTTGCAACTGGCCTTGGATTGGACTGCTGCTGAGAGAGGCCAAGTCATTAGGTCACTGTTACTAAGTTCAGAATAGAGGTAGTTTCAAGTACAGGTTGTTCCCGGTGACAAGGGTTTTAAGTGGCCATGAGTAATCGGTTAAGATTTCTCCACATTTCACAAGACAGTGAATGCCCCCAAGAGCTGGACCATTAGTTTGAGAGACATATTAATTTACCATCTGCAGATTCTCTCACCAAACAACAGGGTCACCGCCAGACTGTCAGGTGAGGCCCTTACTGAGGGACCACTTAAGAAGGGTGCCATCCGCTTCACAGACTATTTTGTTATTTAAAGCAGTTTTCCAAGTGTGCTTGGATTATAGCTTTGCTGGCTTCATAGATGGGTTTATTGTATAATAATTGCCATAGTGTTTCTGACAAATAAATATGTTTTGTTCTAACTGATACTTTGATTTAGTTTTCAAAACAGAAATGAATTTGATAATCAAAAGGCTGTGTTGACCTAACAAGTAGAATAAACTACCCTTCTTATTCCAGAGCCACTTTTCTGACTGAGGAACTGATGGAAAAGTATCTTAAAATTAAAGTAAATCTCTACTAAGATTAGTGCACTGGCTAAATATGAGTTTCACACTCCAAGCACCTGTCATCTGCTTTTTATATTCTATTACCTGCTGTGACTAAGTCATCTCACTTAAACGCGCAAGTAATTTCTATGGAATAACAAATATTCATTTGCCATCATAATCCACAAAGGTTACATAAGTAAATTAGAATTATTACAGAATATTAAATTATGTTATTTATCATATTACTAGCTATTAATACAGAACATTACATAAAATGTGGTAGTTATTTGTTATGGAAATTTCATCAGTACAAAAATTAAATTGTTAAAATATAGTGACTTTTATGCATTCCATTTGTTTTCTATGTTGGGATTCCATCATGTTCCTCAGCTCCTCTAGATTTATTAATCATGTCTTGCACTAGGAGCACAATTTCTCCTGTTATCTGAGAAATTATTTCTGATTTCATTTTTTTCAGATCCCTTTTGTTGCCAGTTCAGTGGGTCCAGGTGGTTGAGTATCAGAGTATTCCATCTCATTTCCCTTTTGGGTTGCTGTAGGTGATCTGGAAGTCTGGTTTTGAGACTTATTTACGTGTTTTCTCATTTCGACGGGGGGGGGGGCTGTTGGCTCCTGCACGGATTACCTCCTCTGAGCTGGGAGAGGTGGGACAGGGGCCAGGAGCAGCGGTAGGGATGGTGGCCCAAAAGCCCTTTCCTCTGGACCAGGAGCAGTGGGACAGAAGGTGACCCAAAAGCCCTTTCCTCTGGGCTAGGAGTAGCGGGCGGGATGGTGGCCCAGAAGCCCCTTCCTCTGGGCCAGGAGCAGTGGGACGGCGGCTCAGAAGCCCCTACCTCTGGTCAGGGAGCGGCAGGACTCAGTACCGTGGTCTCATGGTCCGGTGTCCTCTGCGTCTTTGTAGTATGGAACCAGGTGGCTGTACAGAGGAGTGGGGGTGGGGGGGTCCAGTGGATTGTTGCCAGGGCGCGGGTTCTATAGTGACTTTTTATCTACATTCTCCATTCAAAATGAACAATTTATTTAGGCAGTAATTTAACAGACACATTAAAATTCTCAAAATTATAATGTATTAAAATTGTCTACAATACCACAAGAAAGACTGTGAAATCCTTGACAGATCAATTCTACTAGAAACGAGAAATTAGAGCATATGAACATTGAAACCATCATAAAGTTTCATTTCCATGAAAGTAAGCCATGTATTACTTATTATATGACAAATTATTACATCCTAGTGACTGAATTCCCAATTATTGTGATTTAAAATTTGAATTTTCACAATGGAGTATTACTCTGCCATAAAAAGTTAAATTTGAGTCATTTGTAGGAAACTGGATGTACCTCGAGATCATAATATTAAGTGAAATAAATCAGACACGTGCACTTAAATATCACATGGTTTCTCTTATATGAGAAACCCAAAGTATAAATAAAGAGCAAAATTAAATATAGATAATAGGAAAGAGGGGAATAGGACTTTCGTAAAAGGAAAGGGAACCAAGATAAGAAGGGGATGGAGGGAATAGAGGGAAGGGGAAGGGGATTAAAGAAAAGAATTAAAATGTGCTATGTACATGTACCAACTCCTCATGATGAATGTGATCGTGATATACTGCAAATATGTACTAATTTTAAAAATAAAAATAAAATAAAATTTGCATTTCCAATGATTTTATGTTTCCTGTATAATAGTTGATATTGTAAAATAAATAATATATACTCTTTAAAGCCTTTACTTAAAGATCATCATTTTCTGATTGGCACAAGGATTAGATATGGGTAAGCCAACCACTCACTTAGAGTAAGCTCTGGTCTTCAATGCAATATCCATCTTTTGCAAGTGGCTTGCTCAAGTAAACAGGAAATTGGCAGGCAAATGAAGGACATTGCTCCAAGTCAGCTTTAATGTGATTTTTTTTTTAAAAGTAGGAAGAATTTATTGAGAGAAAGACAGCTTCTGTCTAAGACAGAAGGGGGACTGGAAAGTGGATTGCCCCTAATGTGACTATTTTAATGCACTGTTACTGCAAGCTTATTATTGGAATACAGAAGTCTTAACCATGGCAAACAAAAGTCCTTTGACAATAGGGCCGGAGATTCAGCTCAGTGGTTTCGCCGCCTGCTACACAAGCTCAAGGACCTGAGTTCGATCCCTGGTGCCAAAACAGCCGTTCAAATTCCTGAAATGCTGAGGATGGATGGATTGAAATAAGAGGAAAAAACAAGGAAAGGCGGGGGGCGCTCTAGGTATTTGTCCTCAAACTTCTCCCCCTTTCTCCACACAGCTTTTGTCCAACAGGCGCTGTTTTAAATGATCAAGATTTAGGGCAGGGAGATGCAGGGTGAGGGAGGAAATGTCCAGGTACAGTTGTGCCCGGGGTGGGGAAAGGAGAGGACAGCTCTGCCCTAGGCACATTTCCGGACCTAAGACGCTGGGCCGCAGCCCAGCCCTTCCTCCTCCTCCCCACCCCCACGTTCGCGTGCTCCCCAGTAGCAGGCCACAAAGAGGCGCGGGTGGGCGCGGCGTCTGGGACACCTGGTTACCAGGCAACAGGATGCCCCGGCGTGAAGTCACTGAGCAGAATGCTTGGGCAAGGCAGTTGGCGAGACCCGGAGCAGCAGAAATGAGCCCTGGTAAGAGCCGGCCCAGGCGTGGGAAGTGGAGGGTCGTCGAGCGAGGCCAAGCCTGAAGGTTTCCCGGGACGTCTGGAGCGCGGATCCTCCCGACCCGCTGCTCTCGCCTGCTCAGCCGCAGAACAGCAGCGGCGTGCCGCCCAACCCTGGTGCCACCCTCCGGACGCCACTGCGTGGGCCCAGCGCGCCCTCTGGTGGCCATCGAGGGCGTGGGCGACCCAAAATCCCCACCTGGGCGGGGGGGGCCCAGCCTCCCATAGCTCCCAAGTGCTCCTCCCAACAGAACCAGAAGCCTCCGTCTGTTCTGTTACAGAAAAGCATCTTGAGGACAAGGATGAAGTTGACTCAGTTCTTCTTTCAGCGTCCAAGATCCTAAATTCCTCTGAGGGGGTAAAGGAAAGTGGCAGCAGTGAAACAGGTAAAATCTCCAAGGCCAAGACTGTGGCAGTGATGTTTTTCTGCCTTGTGCAGAAAACAGGGTTCGGGTCCGTCGCCTAAACTCACCGGCCCAACTGGTGCACCTCCAGTAACTATTATTCTCATGCCAACAGGACACTTCCTGTGTGCCAGCACATACAGGTGCCTCTCATTTAATCCACAGGACAGTCCTAGGCAATAGTACTATCATTTTATTTTATTTTTTTAAAAAAACAGTCCTTATTGTGTAACCAGTGCCCAAGGTCACACAACTAGCAAAGGACAGAGCCAGCATTCTGTACCCCATTCTCTGGGGTACAGATCTTTAACCACTTTACTGTTTCCCAGGATGCCCAATAAGAATTGTTAGATTTTTGAAAAGCCACGAAAAAGATATGTACTGGAAACTACTTTTATGGTAAATATGTGTGGACAATAGGATGTTTATGGGGAAGATGTTTGAAAGAAACCAAAGAGCTTCAGTTTTGACGCTCCACATAACACTGAATAAGGTGTGTGTAAACACTCAGCTAGGGGAATCTGAGAACACTGAAGTTGGAGTCTCATTTCCTTGAAAGAAGCCTAAGGTAACAGCATACCTCTCAGTGTGACCTGGTGTTCGGTGGAATGAGCCAGGAAAGAGCAGAGCACATGAGCAGATGTGGCATCCAGACTGCTGAGCCAAAGCAGGACCCCAATTGCCTGTAACTTACATGTGGGCATAGGAGTAATCCAGAGGCACAGAGGGACAGAGGAAAGGGATGAACTCGAAGAAGCCTGGGCTTGGGACAGTATTTCTGTACCCTCACCAATCCAGAATCTTTGCGAATGGCTCAGCAAAGTCCTTGAAAGAGGCTAGAGCAGCCACACCTCCGTAGGTGAAAGACAACTGGATACTCAGTCACCAGGATGAGAAGCATCTCGTGGAGGCCAACACACCAGTCCCAAAAACACTGCCTGCACAGCCAGGAGGAGAAAGGGGATGAAAGAGTCTTCACAGAGAGTGTAGACATGAAATTAGCCCATATTTACCTCTAAGCTCAGAAGATTTAAAGGCAAAAGAGATGAAGATGCCTCAATTTGTCAAACATTGAGTTTTCTAACATTAAGTGAGACCTGAGGCTCTGGAGAGAGATGCTAGCATTTATAGCAAATGAAATGACTTACAAAATGGCCATACCTATGTTTATGAGTTGCAGTCTTTCTTAGAGTGCAGTGGTCACAGGGTCTAGCACAGAACAGGTACTCTGCAGACAGGTGCTGCCAAGGGTGCCAAGGATGTCCTGCCTGCAACTAAAGACAAATTAGGAGCTATGACACATGCCTTCCCCATTCTGCTCTGCTGTCTACACTTTACTATTGCAAGTGAGCCATTCTCTGAGTATTAACCATCACAATATTGACTTGATTAGCATAAATAATTAACATTATTTATGTAGATAAGAACAGTTACTTAGCATAATTATGTGAGTGATGCCTTCGAAGATGAGAATGACCAGTATGTTATTTCTAGCACCTCTGTTCTACCCAAGCCTTCATTCACTAGTTCATCTACCAAACAAATGTTTTTGAGCACCTTCTATCCAGTGCTGTTCTAGATGCTAGGGATCCAAGAATTAACATGTGTAAGATCCTATCCATGTGAAGTTACCTTCTGGTGGGACGGACAGACAGACAGGATATTATTGTGTGCATGGTGGGAATAATCCTATGGAGAAAAGGAAGGCAGAGAAGGAGGCTGAGGAGTGTGAGTAGTGTGTCAAAGGTGGATGGGGAGCATAGTTTTATTAGGGTGGGTGATAGAAAACCCCACTCAGCAGGTCACATCTGAAGGAGGAATCCTTGCAGATTTCTGGAGAAAGAGTGAACCAGGCAGGGAGCAGCAATGCGAGGCCCCTGAGACCCACTATTAGTTACTGGAGCAAAAGGAGAGCAGGGAAGTGTGGTAGGAGAAGGGCTGAGGGGAATTTGGGGAAATCCTTCCACATAAGGATTTGAGTTTTATTCTGGGAAGCATTGGACAGTTCTGAGCAGTTTTCTCTCCTTTCCATCTTAACTAGAAATTTTTAAGTTACCAAATCATCATCACATCACCTATGCAATAATGATTAGACTAAATGTTTTTGAGCATTTACTATGTGCCAGGTATTATGCCTTGTAAGCACTTGACCTGCAAAGTAGATGATCCAAGTGCGGGGAAGGCAGGATTCAAATCCAGGCAGCCTAACTCCATAGTTCATATCCCTTATTCTCATACTAATGCCTCATGCAGATTGTGCCATGCCTCACAGGGCTTCTAAAACAGCTGCTTGAATTGTCACAGCCAAGTCAATATTTCAACCTGAGAATTACAAGCCCTGGAACCCGAGAATCATTACCATGCTGCATTTTAAAAACTCGTGTAGGGGCCAGGGATTTAGCTCAGTGGTTCTGCCGCCTGCCTCGCACCTGCAAGGACCCGAGTTCCATCCCCGGCACCAAAAAAAAAACCTCATGTATTCTCGTAGACCTGCTAGTCACATTGTGCACTTAATATTTTCTGTATACATTGAATATGACATAATTTTCTTCAGGCTGAGAAGTAGAGCACTATTTTTCTTTTTTTCTGTGGTACCTTGGATCGAACTCAGGACCTTGCACTTGCAAGACAGGCACAGTGCCACTGAGCGAAATCCCCAGCCTTAGGAGTAAACTACCATGATCTCTACTTTAATTATCTCGAAAGCCATTCATTCCACTGACAATCATCTTGTTGTTGTTGTTGTTGTTGTTGTTGTTGTTGTTGTTGTTTACTTTTGGCACTTAAATACAAAATGGCTAGAGAATTTAAGTCGAATATAATAGAATAACATTTCTTA